GTTTTAACCATGGAAGAATAATTCCGGCTTCCGTGACTTTTTCATTTTTAGACCCTTATTGGGCGACATTCCTTTTGTTGCTATGGTCCGTCTTGCCCTTATTTTGCGACTTGGATGGCAAATTAATGGACCGAGGCCAGGGTGAATTACGTTCTTCTCTAAAGAAAAATATAGTAAAATAAAAATTAAGGCGCTTGCGATACATCCACTCTAAAAAGGAGGCCAGCTAGATAAATGTCCTTTAGTCTACATTAAAAATCAGCTCTAACCTTACTTCATATTAGATATTTTTCCAAATTTTGATATTGAGAACTATATAAGTGTGGCTGATTTAGTATTAATAAAAACAAAAGTATATTGACCAGACTGCCATTATGGATTGGCTCTGTCGGAAGGGTCTAAATTATGCCTATGCCTATGTCTATATCATCGATAAGTTAATTCTGAAGTAGTTCTGAAGAATTATGTAGCGTAGAATTTACTTGGTAACACGAAAAGAATAGGGGCTGAAAATGCAAACTTCAGAAAACACCGCTATCATAACAAGTGCACATAAAACGGGGCTGGCGATACAAGAGAGTTTGTGTCTCAGGACAACTCATCACAGAAGTTCTCGGCTCATATGTCATGCGTATAATATCTCTGAAACAGAAAGGTATAACTGAATTGTCTAGATGGCTAATATAGGTTGAGCGGTCTGCGAGTTGCATCGAAGGAATTTCACCCAACAGAATTCGAGCTTTTGCTTTCTCAACCACATGGTGACTAAGCTAGTTTTGGGCTTCACCGACTATTTTACAATTTCTTGAGTTTTATTTGCTCATGTTTAAGGCAAAAAAATTAGCTTAAGACCATAGGAGTTTTTAGTTGGCCTTCCTAAGTCAAGTAATGAGATCAATGCCAGGGACTTGTCCTGAATAGACAAGGGGAAGGTTATATATGTGCCAGGTTCCTTTTTACCTCACAAGAAAGGATGAAGACGTGTTTGTGGTTCTGCCAAGCGACTGAGTCTGCGAACGAAACCTCTTTACATCAATTAAGTAAAACGAGTTTGTCAAAACGTCAAAAATATTGAGGAAAATTAAGGATGACTGGACGGTATGCTCTTCATTTGTCATGTTCTATGTTAATTCATTCTATGTTATTGATCGTGCTCAGTCCTGAAATGATCCCAGTGCTCTGGATAGCGCGCGCCTGCCTTTTTAATTATTGTTCAAGTAATTTTAGAGTGGGTGGGATACGTTGTTCTTAACTGAATATCACTGGGGGAGGAGGAGGGGATACATTTCTTCCAACGTCCCAGTCTTGTAAGACTTAAAAGTTTTACCCATTTTCTGTCTCAAACGTTTTTATATGAAAAAAGCTTCTTACGACAGAAAAAGGGTATCTATCCATTTTTAGCCTCTTAATATCTCATTCTCTCTTTTTTTGTCAAACGTCAAACGCGCCGAAAGTGTAAATAGACTATGTTCAGTGCATAAAGTAATTTTCTCAAGGGACCTGTTTAAGTTTTGTACTTATTGATTGTTGTCTGTTAAGTTGGCCTTTGCCCACCTGTTCAAATTGAGAGTCTGGGTAATTATTTTTACATTGGTACGTAAAACAAATTAAAATTTCAACATTTTATGATTAAAATCTTCTGCATTAGCAATAACTGACCACCAATCATACATTTTCTTTTGCAGATAAACAAAAAGGCAGGCAACTAGGTAATTGAGTCACCACAACAAAAGATTTTATTCAGTTTGGCCAATTTTATATGAGAAATCAAGTTATGGAAGATTAAAGGAATTAAGACAAAAGGACATTATAGCCGTCAGCTTTACAAACTCTTGTCTATTGTTAAGGAAAGCAATTCTTGAGCTTTACGAGTTCGCTCTTCAACAAACAGGGGGTACAAAAGGAAACGTAATCTACATACACGAACAGTAATGGCGTTGTTGTATCAGGTCAGCAACGTTTCAAGAAATGCAAGCGAAGAGTTCGCCGAATCAAATGTTACAGATAGCTTGGAGAAGTCTTCCAGGACACTGTTAATCGTGAAAATCACATGCTACTCCGCAATCTGCATCACTGGGACCATTGGCAACTTGATGTTGATATTTTCATTAGCTCTAGAGCGGCAACGCAAAACCAGTCAGTACTTCATCCTTAATCTTGCAACGGTGGACCTTTTGACTTGCGTGCTGAGTATACCGTTTGACATTGTTCTGGTCGCGCTGGGAGGCTGGCCTTTTGGATCTGTATTGTGCAGAATTATTTACCCTTTGCAGACTATTTTCATGGCTGTTTCGGTGTCAACGTTGTTATGTATGGCCTTGGAGCGACATCGGGCAATTATCCACCCTCTTAAATATAAAATACCTGGGAGGGTGATAATATTGGTCATAACACTGATCTGGGTGTTAAGTGCGGCGTTGGTATCTCCGTATGCATTGGCGCTGAAGATGAAAAATGGCAACTGCGTAGAGAATTGGCCCAACAATGATCCAATATACCCTAAAATGTTTACATTAGGCGTGTTTCTTTTACTCTACTTGGGACCTCTGTGTGTGATATCAGTGACCTACACGCGTATTGGAGTGCACCTTCGAGCCCACAGTCGCAAAGCGAATTTTCTTGTAGCCAGTAAAAAAGCCTCGGTAAAGAAACATGCAAGGCGGAATATACGAGTCGTCAAAGTGTTCGTATTTGCTGTTATAGCTTTCGCAGTTTGCCTTCTGCCTTTTCACGTAATGTGGATTTGGAGTGAATTCGGGAACGGGCAAAAATGGCCTCATTTCTCCACGGTTCTGACGTTCGCCTACGTAATTTTTTACGCCAACAGCGCGGTGGATCCTTACATATTTGGCGCCTTAGGTCGAAGGTACAATAGTTGCAGATGCCTTTATCAGAGATTTGACAAATCGGGTCTCACAATTATTTTCTCTGATAGGGAACGTAGGAAAAAAATGGCGCGAAATTGGAAAAGGGAGAAGTTAGCCACTCCTTGCGTAAATGGTGGAAGGGCTAAAGATTGTTACAATGGAAAAGAGAGACTCCAATTTAATAATAACTTCTTTGGTTTGGTATATGAATCGACGATTTAATCCCGTTCATGAGCAAAAAAGTGATACTGACAATACGAATATCATTTGATCGCTTCAATGAATCAGTCTAGTGAAGGCAGGAGCACCTGGTGAAGGTTAAAGACTCCGGCACGAAAGAAATAAGGAAAAAATTGTTAAACATTCCGTGATGATATTGGAAGGGAATTCCTTCAACTGATTCTTTTCTTACACCTGCATGCAACAAAATAATCGCTGAATTACTAGTCAAGTTTTAGTGTAAACCTTCAGGACCGAACCTGAATCCTGAGCATTGAGCTTATTATTTTTGCATTTGGTGGCTAGCATTAGAAGCATTAGGGACTAGGAGCTATAGATTAGACTGAGTACAAGTACGAGTTTTAAAACCAAATTGGTGTGTTTAATATCATAGTTACCGCATGAATCTTATCTCTAACGTCAGTTATTTTATGTGCTATAAGGCAGCAACAAGATGTAACAGGAAGGAGTTTTAGTCGTACTCGTATTTGTTTTCGCACTCGAAGTCAAATTTATAGGTCGCAATTGTTCTTAACCTATAAGATGACAATACCCTGGATATCAGTAGTCCTAGAGATGAAATCTTCCCTAAGGAGAACTGATCCAAAAGAATAGAACTTTTCGTTATCATTTTCAAGTTCTTTAAAGATTTAAGGAGAAAGGTGAAAAAAATTGTGTGGTGGATAGCGTGCGAGCAAGCTCTCCGAAGCGCTCTGGCGGCGGGGAGGGGAAAGAAATGAGAGATTACAACTACGTCTCTGGAATTTGAATATCTGCTTCGAAAAATTGGATGCGAGATGCTGATTGGCGGAGATGACATTAGTAATGATGTCATTACCCTGGGAACGTGTTTTCCAATGTTTGTTTACATTCGCGCTCGTTTCCACTTCGCGCTGGCAGTTCAGTTGACGGGGAGCCGGGAATTGGAGGTGGAATTCAAATTCCAGAGACGTAGTTGCAAGTTCTCCTTCCTTTTCCCGCCCCGCCTCCAGAGCGTCCCGGAAAGCTTGCTCGCAGGCTGTGTGGTGGAATAAAAGCGCCACATACGTTTTGGTCACCTCCCAGTGATAAGTCTTAAACTATGAAAATTCGTTGATTCTTCTCCACTAAACTCCAATAACCAAATTCCGAATTAGAAAGCAAGGCTGGGCCACCCGAGCTACGGCCACATTTTGCCGTTTTTCTCAGCACGTGTATGCAAATCCTTGAAGCCTTCAACATTAATATTTATGTTTCATTAATATTTAATGATGTTTATTATGTTTTCAATAATGTTTACTGGATTGACTTGATCCTGGCGTATGGCTATATAAAACTCGACTCGAGTGACTTAAATGGTTGAGTAATCGTAGAAAACTTTTTTGAACAGTTTATTTTCAAGTCATTGAATTAATGACGTCTTGACGAAATTGAAACGTCCTTTGATTTTATAGTTGTTCTTTACTATCTAATCTTTGAGCAAAGATAATAAGATAAAAATAAGTACACCAAACACGGATTTCTAACAGAAAAAAGTAGTTTCTGTAATTATGTCTTAGTTATTTTCTTTTCGCATCCCGTGAAATGAGCAAAGACAACCTTCTCGTAATGACATCCCACTTGTAAGAAATAATAAAAACGTAACGAGGGGTCCCGAGGGAAACAAAATTACTATAACAAGTTTCCCGAGGGACGAGTCATTGACGCTATGTCTTGACCAGCCGGATAGCTTTTCGTGTAGACAATTTGAAAGGTTTTCTGGTAATTAGTATGAATGGTAACGGCACGGATCTGAAGCAAGTAATTCACACCCATCGGACATCGTGAGTAGTGTAGGAGCTGCTCGGAAGGTCTATCCTAATTGGTCGCAGGAAGCAATGACATGTCATTCTTCCAATTGTTTTGGTATTGTTTGAGGTCAGGGAAACGCATCATTGGTGACTTCTCTTCCGAGCAGCTGCGCGCTACCTGACCCCAACATCGTAACAGTGCGGTTGGCTGAGAGGGCTTGGTACACTTAACCCCGGCCCTCTTTTTTGAATATTTACTTCCGTCTCAGTAGGTTTCATGTCGTACCTCCTAAGTTCTGACAAAGGGTGTCTGGAACCAATCCTGACTGTCCGATATGTGACGCCGATCCTCTTTCAAGGTTACAGAAATGGCGCCGAGAACCCCGTTCTTATGAGTTAAAAGGTTAAAGGTTTCTTTATAAAGGAAAGTGCACTTAGCTTACCCAGCAAATTTACTTATGTGTAGCCACAACAGCTATCTCTTATAGTGTAAGCATAACCTACGTGATTGGTTATCTAGTTCAGGGCCCAGTTGTTCGAAGGTCGATTAGCGCTTAACCCGGGTTTCTTTTTCCGTTGTTCAAAAGCATTTTCTCGGATAATTTTCTCGGTTATTTTTAGAGCCTCCAATCATCAACTTGTAGACAAAAGGAATTAAAGCTGAAATGCTTTTTAAGCTTTCAAATCTGAATTCAAATCTCGTACTAACCCTGGGTTATCTTAACCCAGCTTTGAACGACTCGGCCCAGCAGGAAACTTTTTACGCGTACAATTCTCAGCAAACGCTCTACATTTGCGGGTAAAAGTGCATGCTACCCTCTGACGTCAGTTTCTCAAGCTTGCATGTCCACTAAGACACTTCTGGCGGGAAATACTGATTTTTTTAACTTGATATGTATTAATAAAAGCAATGAGAGTGAGCCCTGTTGGGGAAAAAATTCAGCTAAATATTAAAAAAAAAATTATAGTGCTTGTTTCTCACTGTTACTGAGAGTGTGAGACTAGAGCTGTCAGAAAAGTGAGGCAGCGAATACTTTTTAAATGGCCTTGCCACTGATGGGTTGTCAGATTGTAGCACTCATTATTTTGCATCATTGCTTGAAATCCCAACAATAACTTCAAACGAACGCCATTTTCTCAAAAAGCATGGAAGTGTAGGTGTTGAGCTAAAAGGGAATTCCATTGTTAGACCTCCAATGCCTTGCTGTTTACCTGCCCGATTTGTTTAGAAACGTTTCATTTTTAAGCTTCCTTTCAAGAGCTAGTTCCACACTACCCATAAACTTACTACCCATTAACTGTTAAATGTAGACTTCACGCCTGTTCTTCTATGGCATGAGAGATCGTGGTGGTGTGTAGTGTGCTTCTTGTTGACTTCAGATCCATAAAACAGTTATTGGGCCAAAACCGGGCCCCTGACATGAGCCGCTGGCGATGTGTACCGTCCAGGAAAGGGGAAGAATAGCGGATACGTTCTTGTTGGTTGGAAACCTGGGATGCGACAGAAGTCTTGTCTACATGGAGAAAACATGTTTCTTGTAGAAGGTTCACCTGCCTACCCAAAAAGTTGGCTGGACAAGAAGGGTGACCCGCCTAGCCGGTCACACTTTTTAGATGGTAAACCGGTGTCATCCTCCTAGTTGGGCTAACTTTTCTACATTGTAACACTTGGCCTAGTCCAGCCTTCGTCAACTTGGTTAAGGTAAGACTTTCAAAGCAGTCAGGAGCGCTGTTTTCAGCTCTCGGCTCGGGCAAAGAGGTCAACGTTTTCCTCATAGAGTAAACGCTCACTAAAATCGATTCGACTGGGAGAGTGACCCTCTTTCCCTGGCCAACTGACAACAGATTGGTCTAACTTCGCCACTGACTTAAACTCGTGCAGTCTTTATATTTGGTGTATTCTTCTTGGTCAGCAATTTCACCTCAGCTTGATTATATTCTTTCAAAGCCATTTCTCTTCCAACATACAGACGTGATGACCCAACACGGAGTTCGTAAAAACAGCCACCTCGCGCGTCTGCATCCGAGGATTTACGACAGCATGCAAAACATTTAGATGATTTAATGTTCTTTAAGGAACCAAAAATGAAGGGATTCGAAGCACTATTTGCGTACATTAGGATGTTGCCGAAAATCAATACATCTTGAAAGTATTTACTTTCCCATCCTTGGCCAAAATCGTGCCAAATCCACGCCGCGTGGGTCGGCAGCATGCATACTAGAAAAGCGGTAACAGCCACTATGAATACTTTTGTTATCCGCATTTTTTGCAGTGTGCGTTTTTTCGTGTACTGAACTTGAGATCTATGACTATCTGCCATCATGTAATCAAGTCTGTTAAGTTCTTTTCGAATTTTCAACCCAGCGCGGATATACGAGAAAGCGATGACTGTGAGGGGTATCACATAAAACAGGGCAAAGTTTGTTAGAGTGAAGACTTTGACGTACCAGTCCTCAGGCCATCTTTCCATGCACTGCCTGCCTTCAAAGCGCAAAACGAGTGCATAAGGTATAAGTACCAGGCAAGGAACGATCCATGAAATACATATGGTCATCTTGGCCGTTCGTGGAAGAACGCGCGGACGAAGAGGTGTCATAACTACACGGTGACGTTCTAAGCTCATAGATAAGAGCGTAATGACGGAGACAGCCATTAAAACGGTTTGAAATGGATAAATGAGGTAACACAGTATCGATCCAAATGGAAAACCGCCGGAGAGACGCTCAGCAAGATCCAAGGGAATGCTAATGACACAAGTAGCCAAATCTGTAATGGCCAAATTGAGAATCATGTATTCTCCGATTCTTCGCGTTTGGCGACCAAGCAATGTTATTATAATCATACTATTTCCTACAAGGCCAACGATTGTAATTGCAACATACAGAACCAGTTGGATTATCTCGATCGCAGAGAATCCGTTCATTTCTTTTTCATCTGTAGAGTTTCCTATCGATTTATAAAATTCAGGCATTTTTGAAGCAACTATGGTTAGGTTTCTTCTCCTTGTTGTTGGTACTTTCTTTCTGTAAAAGAGTACAAAAGAAAAGATCCGTAAGTCTGGTTTCGCGCTGTTTTTTTCTTGCATTAAAGTGGGTTCTGTTGTTGTTTATATTTCATCCTTCCCGGACTTCGCCACTGTTTAAATTCATCGTTAGCTTTTTTTCTTTCTCTTTTCTTCTTTGAACGAAAAAAGAACTCGCCCATTTTCCTAGGCCAAGACAAAGTTACCACCAAGAACGAGGAAGGCCAACATATTATCACGAGACCACCTATAAGCGATGCAGCAAAAGACAAAAAACTCGAAAACATAATAAATTCTCAGCCGATCAAGCTAAAAACTTACTAAAACCGTATTATTAAACATGCCAAAAAATTTGCTTTTCTTCCCAGAAAATGTTCAAATTTGGCTTATGTAAACTGAATACGCTAAAAAGATGGCTCATATCATGCATTCAATGATGCATTCAATTTAGTTATTTCTTTACTCACAACCTCTAATTCTGAAGACCTATTTTATTACAGCCTAATGTGAGTTTGAGGCAAGAAAAATAGATGGAAATCACTCTAGTTGAAAGGTCACTCACGCAGCAGGTACCAATTGATTTTTAAGCGGCCTTGATTTGCAGAATTTGGTAGTAAACATTTTAGTTTGTAGGTCAGGTGGTCGCGTAGAGAAGCTGAAATTCAGGTTAGTGTGGTCGAGACATATTTAGTTAGATTGTAGTGCATTTTGTATGCATTTTAAACTAGACAAATTGATATATGAAAATAAAAACAACATCACTGCCAAACTTCAGCAGTCAGGTATTTGAAACCAAAAGAGCTCAATAAGACTGCAGACTTTCTTTGAGTCCCGCAGTTTAAACATATACATCAACCTGACAACGCTTGAAATTAATGAAGCTCCTAGCTATACGTTTTTTTTTATCAATAAGACCGTGGATGATTATCTGAACACGGTGACAAGTTATTTCAAACCAAAATTTTACCTTACATGCCCGATGACAGTGGTCCAAATTAATGCTCACTAGCTGTCTGTCACATAAATTCCCCTCTTGATATTTCGGACAACGCGAAGAGCTATTTCCAAGATAAATGAAATGAACTTTGCTCGTCGAGCGATCAATACTCAAGCTGTGTCAACTTACATATATGTAGACTGTTGTAGAATGTTTAGTGTTGAATTGTGCGCGCAGTTATTCTATAGCCAGCAAATATACAGTAAAGAACTCGTCGGTTAATCATTTTCTGTGCGGCCCTGGTGAGGGAGTAAGCACGTTAGATGTGGCCAATTTTATCAACTTAATTGGTGATTTAGATAAATATATTACCACCCAAGGAAATTCTTAGCGGTGGCTTCACCTTTGACATGATGATAAATTGATGTTTACGGATTTTCCTTTGCTGTGTCTTAGAAGTTGAATTCATTAAAGACATGGCTAATAAATAATTTAAATTAATAAATTAAGCAAAGACTGAAATTTAGATTATCTCCAGTTAAAAGAACATACTCCATGGGAGCTCTCTCTCAAACGGGTTCACTCGATAAGTGGAATTCTTTTTGTTTCCTTTTTTTTTCACAAGACTTAAATGCCAGTTTTCATTGCATTTTTATAGTATTCACATTTTTAAGAGGAAACATTACGGTCGTTATATGTAATATTTGCATAACAGTTAAACCGAAAATGAAGTAGTTGGGATAGTTACGGATACAACAATTAATTTTTTATGATTATGAATAATGATTATGATAAAGATTATCATTGTGGTAAGATGATGTGAAAGTGATACTGAGCAAGAAGGTCGCTCTCAAATTGTTCCTATGACAAATAACAGATGAGCTTTTTTTAAAGAGCTACTTTTTGGAAAACGTCAAAACTAATTCCCCACGTAATGCCTTTGCTAATTAATATACATGGTTGGTTTGTTGACAATTTAGGACCGAATATTTCATACATGTACTAATACATAATTTATTACTGCTTTGATGTTTCATGGTTTTTAATCTTAGATAACTGCTTGAGTCCCACGTTTCGTTTTGGACAAGAGACACAATTTCAATAAATAGAGACACAGTAGAAAAAACAGGGACAGTATTTAAATGCTTCAAGGTCTAAACACATTTGATCTCTAAAGGTCTGATCGCGAGTAATTATATTTCATCACTGACTGAACTGAGTAGGCAAAAAGTGCCAAAAATAATGAGCATTTTAAAGTAAACAAGGTTGAACATGCAAAGCAGAGTTGTGAATTTATTATTCTCTTATTTCTGTAAGAAGCTATGAATTGTGAAGTATCAAATTCAAATAATTTCCCATAGTTTTATATGGAGCTTCAAGATTAAAAATCAAATAAAAAATGGCTCCAATGTAAGTAACTGTTTCCATTTTATTTCTCACTTGGCGGCCTCCAGCAAGCTTTCTCGATTAAACCAATGGCCAGTCCCAGTCGATTTCAGTAATCCTAAGCACCTCGTTCAGTTTTTAGGCCGTACAACAACCCATTTTTAGCGACAGGTGAGTATACGATAATCACAATTGGGCACTTTCATAGAATTCTTATGTTTCAGTTGCTCAAGAGTTTGTTAATCGCGTGTAAAAGTTCATGTGAACTCGGCAAGAATGAAAAGGCGCGTCAAAAATAAATGTTTTCTCATTTCACTACTCGGCCTTAAGTATTGAGTGCATGACTTCGGATCAATTGAGCCTCGTCTGGGATTAAATAAAAAATACAAAGTATAAAAGTGAAGCAAAATGGTTAGCTTGAGAGTAAAAATAACTCCAATTTACTATGTTTCCAGTCAGGACACAGGCACATGCAAAATTATAAAGTGAGTCACAAATGAGTCCTTCCTAACAGTTAGTTCAAAGGTGTGAGTGTACATCCGTTAACTTGTTGGGTATTGGAACATCCCATGGTACCGAAACATACTGATTTCACGACCACTTTTTTTTCCGCTGAGATTGGCGTAAATAATAATTGATTTCCACTTTCTGGTGTGTATTTGATGCGATTAAATTATCGTGCAATAGAATAAATCTTAATTCCATAAAGAGAAATTTCATGGAGAAACAGTATGGTACATTATCTGTCAAAAGGGGGTACATGCAGTCATATTATTTTAATTCGTTAATGTTTATAAACTCTTTTTTTATATAAGAATGTTAAATTTCCGGCCCAGGCTAAAAATTCTTATTTTTCTGCCGATTTTAGGCTGAGAATATTCTTGTATTATTCTTAAATTAGAACTTATGCCATTTCCATTTTTAGAATATATTGGAGTATCAATTATAGTTACTGCAGGTTTTTTCGTTTTGTTGGCAATTTTTGCCCTTTAGAAAATGGAATAAGTTGAAAATATATAATTGTATTGCATTTACAGCTTTTGAACACACAAAAATACATGATCCTTTTTCAATATCTCAGCCTGGGGCTTATTCTTAAAATAAAATTTAAAATTTCGCAAATTTCAGCCTCATATTCTTTTAAAATATATTCTTATAGAAAAAAAGAGTGTATCTATAGAAACGGATTTCTTTTTCTGGAACGTTTTTCCTCCTTGCAACTCTTACACCTGACTCGTTTTCGAGGTAGAACGCTTTTAATCTGATGTTTTCATGCGAATCACTGCCACAAAGAGATTTCTTAAATAAAAAATATAAATCTCAATCGCAAGAATTAATTTAATAGCGGTGAATACCGCTAAAAATTATCATGAAATTGTGTCTAAATCACTAAAAACCCAAATCCAGCCTTCAATGCTTGGTTTTCAATGATTAATATTTTTTTTCATTAGCACTTTCCAACTCCTCAGTTAAAAAATTTTTTGAAAGATATATGCTACATCAGGTAATATATATACCCCGTAATGCTTTTTTTCCATTTAGAATGTAAAAAAATACTTATTATGACATCTCAACGTCTCTGTTTCTTCATATTTAAAAGAGGAATATCTTTTTCATTAACAACTGCATTGTAATCTCCGCCTAGTGTGATCGGATCAGAAATTATCAAACATTCAGTGAAATCTTAAACTCCTGTCGTAAATGATAAATAATGGCACTATTCGCTTACGAAACCTTAAAAATAAAAGTTACATCTAAAAGTGTGGATGGGAGTGATAAAGTAAACTTACCTCTTTACTCTATTAATCGGAACCTCTGTTCGTCTTTGCTCTCAAGGTTAGTGGCCAAAAGTCTCTCGATGAACCCTATTTAAAGATTCAGAAAAATTGTTTTTTTTCTTGTCCCCACAACTTCCTCTATTCGTGCTATAAAACCGGAAAAATACTTCAAAAAAACGTAAAAATAAGGCACCTTTTGGCGAATCAAGGAAGCCGAGCCGAGAGGCCTTAAAATCTGTTCCGTAGTGTTAATATTTCAATATTACTAATAAAAATTAAGTTTAAGCTTTGTTCTTTTTCTCATTTCAGAACTGAAAGAGACCCTTGAAAAAATGCTTCGACTGAAAAGCCAAGAAGTACAAGTATAGAACTGGGTGACCAAGCTTTTAGTAGAATTTAATGGCATAAGAAATAGGAATAACATAATTTAGTTAAACTGAATGGATCACGAAAACAATCCCTTTTTCACGACAAGCATAAAACTATGGTAACGCTTTCCTCGACTTAAAAAAACATTTATAAACTAAAAATTTGGGCGAGAAAGTGGTGTGATCGTGTTTTGAGCGCTTTGAAGTGAAGGGAGGAAGTTTGTTGAAGCAAAACAGTGCGTCAGCGCTTTATCGGCGAAGGTGTCGTCTGCACGTAGTTTTCAACACTAATGGAGCGCCATTGCTCAAAAAACAATCCAAAAAATATGCCTTAATAAATGAGTATTATATTTTTTTGTTTTTAGCAGTCGAATGATCTTCCATTGTTTATCTACATCGACAGGTGTCAGTTTAGTGAAGTGTGTTGACAGGTTTTCCCCCCTCACAGATGGATATGTCTTCGTCCCTCGTATAAACCGGCTGCGAAAACGGAAAGGCCTCTCCTTGTTCAAAGAGCAAGGCTTTTAAATACTTCGCACAAATTTCAAATGAAAGTACTCGCACCGGTAATATAGGCTATTGAGGTGTAAAAAAAGACAAATTGCTAAAAGATAATCAGTTGTGATATCACATAGATTTAAAATGACGGCAAACCAGGATATAAGCGTCTGTTCGGACGTCAGAGATGAGGCTAAAAAATCAGTTAATGACACGCCTGACACCAAAGGGAAAACTTTCATTTTATGGAATACGTCAACGGGAAAAAAACATACGTACGTGCTACATTTAAACTTTCTTAAACTTGTACAAAAATAACGGGAAACGCACACGTTTAAAAACAGAAAAACAAACCAACTTGTGGTGATAGAAAATCGAAGCATGGGGTGACTATTGTTCTGGAATCAATTTGTTTTAGCACATAAAATAAACTTAAAGATTCTCTGTGCTAAAAAAGCTTTATTGGGTTTATTTTTTTGTCTATACACGTCATACGTTTCTAATAACATTAAATTGAGAATGCTACCATTGTCATAGTGTTGTTAGAAGCATTGAAACGTCGCGGTACACAGGAACACTAACCCGGGGGATCCACCTTTAACCTTCGAGCTCTTCTCCGGTGGGTCATAAATAGTAGGTATGGGATTGAAAATTGTATCGAGACCCTTGACTGCTAGCAAAGGCCTCACAATATACTTTGTCCAAACATATCAGACTAAGAGCTTTCGGTTCTGCTGTGGTCGAACCTATATTTTTAATCGAAAAAAAAGTCAGCCCGGCCGATACTTCATCGAATTGAAAAATTGGAAGAACATAAGAGGTCATGTAGGGGAGAGCATGGGGTAGTGGAAAACTGTTTGATCGAAAAAATTAGTTCGTGCGATTCAACTTTGTGTAACCTTTATAAAAGCCTGGGCCACTCAGCGAGGGTTAATATAGTTTATAATAATGACACCATTCGCCTTCTTAACTTTGACCACAGCCTTAAAACACAATGTTAGTCTATGAGGAGACAACAAACACAAGAGAAAAGAACTTTCAGGTATTTAATAAAAGCTCCATAGATGTAAACAAAATAGACGCAGCAGGCATTCGTCACGACAACGAAAATGAACTTTACTTTAGACAAACAAGCGGCTAAAAAGGAAATCGAAACTGAGCAAGTCAGTAAAATGAGGCACGAGCTACGTAGAAAAAACGTTTCCGGTTCAACCGCGTCCCCAGGCCAGATCGCGCTACGCGGGTGATTGTAAGTGGCTTGGAACCGAGCGGGATGTGGACGAACCCTGACAAGCTTGACATGTGACGTCAAATCGGCGAAAAGGATCTGCAACGAGGCTGTGTACATTTTATTTGTCTCTCGTAACGCCTCACAGTAACAAAATAGGGGCAGTACCACGAAGTGCAGCTCTAAAAAAGCCCACGATTGTGGCCAACCGCTAATTGGGTGTCGGGCGCCAATCTCGCTATCAATCTCGAGAACGCGTTACCCTTGTCCAGCGGAACAGACAACAGGGGTCGGTACTTCATGTATGGGGACATATATTGTACCGACTTTACCTATTTGAAACCGGTGTCTCATTGTGTACCCAATCTGCTGGACAAGAGTAACGAGGACTCAGGGAAAGAGATTGGGATAAACCAGCAAATGCTCTTACACGCCAGATTCTAGTTCCAAACAGAGAAATAAAATAACATTTCATTTATGAACTGACGTACACAGTCTTAACGAAGAGAAAGGAAAATTACTGTTATTCTTACACACATTAGCAGATTTCAACACTTATGCTTTAGTCCACGTGCACACGAATCTGGATCTTTTTTAAACCGCGTATTTTTTACACGTAGCGGCATTTCGTCCACACGAAACCAGTAAATCTGCTCACCGAAACCGCATCTTTTTGAAAGCGCTGTTCAGAGCGGTTTGAGGCCTCGTCCACACGAATCCGATGGGTAAAAAGTATTTTATTTTTTAATTTATTTTATTTTATTAGCTTCGCCAACATATACATAAATACATCCACGTAATCACACAAAGTGACAAAGAAAATGTGACAGGGACTTCGCAAAATTGTGAGCCAGTTACTGCGGGCCCAGAAAATTAAAAAAATATAAGAATAGTTAAAATACATAATCACAAAATTAAAACTAGACAGGCTACGCAAGACTACGACACTTATTACATTTAAGACACAGACTTAAAAGTGCGGGGATTTTCACAGTCGTAATTACTTAAGGCGATGTTGTAATACTCTACCATTTCCTGTTTTAAATACACGGTTTTAAAACTGTCCGCATTAATATTCTTGTGGACAGAGCATTTTCTCGGTACAAAAAGAGACAGCCTCAACTCGGCATTCCAAAGTAACTGAGGGAATCATTTCTTTAAACGAATGACACAAAGAAAATATATAAAAACAATATCGGAAATAATACAAATTCAAAGGAGAGACTGGGATCTCCAAGGGCAACAAATACAATATTGACCCAGAAAATTATTCTTCGTGACATCGGTGAACTTAATTTCTTAATAAGCACATTTTCGTGCCATTTCTTTCTCGATTAATTTATTTTAACGAGTTATATATATTCTTAAATTCTGTATCAACTACAAATCGATGCAAACTAGCACTTGATATTAGCTAATAAACTATTACTTTTAAAAAATAATGAGCTATAGATTTATTCCTAGTTTCTTTCTGTACAGGAATTGGGTTTACGGTCAAGTCACAAGAAAGTCACCTTGCCCGAAGTTATCTCGACGAATCCAGAGTTATGTCGCTCAAAATTTTGAGTTAAGTCGCCTGAAATTTCATCATGCTCAAAAACATCCTAACATCTTTATCGCGCTTTTTTCGTCTCATCAAATCTTAAAGAACGAGAAATATTACTCATTTATCGCGCTTGTTTGTTCCCCTCATTGCTTCAAGAACGAGATGTTGTGTACACTCTTTGTTAAAATTTCGAACAACATGACTCGGCATTTCGGGCGACTGGGCGACAAAACTTCGGGCGAGATGACATTCGGGGCAACTTGACCTGTTACCGAGGAATTGTTTCTTTTTCCTCTTCTCCTATCATATCAGAGCCAGTCTGAAATATTACTTTTTACACGGCAGTCTCGTAATCTTCAGCTGCGATAATCTGTAGGTGCTCTTGAGCTAAAATACAAAAAGAAAATGGTAAGAGCCACTTCAGGAGAAGAGATGTAAAGTTTAGTCTCCTACGGTGATAGCTCAAGAGATTTGATGTTGTTATAATGTTTTGCTTGTTAGGAGCTCTAAAATTAAAATTGGCGAAGTATTTTTTTCGGTAAACTATTACGCCACGTAATAAGGCAAAGATGACTCTCGAACTCTGCTGAGTGCTTCCCGGTATAGAAGGAAGAAATAAATATATCTCAGTTGTTGGTACAGTCAGATTTTTATTACCTGTTTTCCGCTTGAGAGACCACCCTTTCTTTCATTTCACCTTTTCCGATGGTCGTACAAAAGTGGCGGGTGCCATGGATACGATGATCTACGGGTGTATTGCTTTAAACTTGATTTAAATTAACCTGATGATTTTGTTTCAGCTCTTAAACAATATTTCTTAAATTACGTACTTTCAAGGTACTTAGCAAGTTCCTTATCTTGAGCTTTCAAAGCTTGAATTCTTGGCGTGTTGCCCTTTTGGGGAAAAACAAAGCAGCAAAAGAATATTAGAATGAATGTTAAACGGAAAAACCGTTTATAGGCAAAAAAAAAATAAACCCAGTCAAGCCTTTTAGCAAAGAAAATCTTTAAGTTTACTTTCTGTGCTAAAAAACAAATTGATTCCATGCTTCGATTTTCTATCACCACAGGTTTGTTTGCTTTTCTGTTTTTAAACGTGGGCGTTTCCCGTTCTGTTGTACAAGTTTAACAAAGTTTAAATGTAGCACGTACGTATGTTTATTTCCCGTTGACGTATTCCGTAAAATGAAAGTTTTCCCTTTGGTGTGAGGCCTTTCATTAGTTTTTTAGCCTCATCTGTGACGTCCGAACAGACGCTTATTTCCTGGTTTGCCGTCATTTTAAATCTATGTGATATCACAACTGATCATCTTTTAGCAATTTGTCTTTTTTTACACCTCAAAAGCCTACATAACCGATCCGAGTACTTTCATTTGAAACTAGTGCGACCTTTTTTGGAACACGTAAACACAACGATGAATTTCCGTTCCTTCATCTAGACTTGTGTTCCGACAAAAAGATTTCAATTCCAGAGAAATCCACCTACATTTGACATCTTAAGCGAGTTGGGATAATCGCAATGACAACGTCTTTTTCATTGGTGACGTTNTCTCAACTACGAGCGCGTGAGAGGGGGTGACAATGCAGTACGACAAAAAGACACATGAACATACAAAAAAAAAAAAAAACAAACTATAATAAATAGAAGTTAAATAATTTTAAAATATAATTAAATTTAAAATATATAATTTATTTGCTTATAATGTGGTGTTGTTGGCTGTTGTTGGGGGGGGGGGGGGGGGGGGGGGGGGGGGGGGGGGGGGGGAGGAAGTTCTCCCTTACCCCCAAAATTAAACTCATCAGACTGGCCGCACTGTCATGAGTTGCATCATCAACTTTAGCATATTTACCTTTCTTCATCTACAAGATCCAATACACATCGGGGAACTGAATAAGGAAGAAACAACAGATGATCAGAAACGCTCGATGAATACTATGCAGTACTGGGACGTGCAGTGAGAAAAGACTGTGATTGACCAGGAAGTCGAATTTATGGAAAATCCTTTTATAGCAATGACCTCCCTCAAGCAGGGCTCTGTGCCTGCGAGAATGAGCATTCCCACCAAATGTATGTTTTGCTTTCAGAAATGCTGGTTTAGGAAATCTGGTCGTGCTATCTAAATCGTCCGACTTACGATGCTTATGATATGCTGGCGTTCCTGCGTCATCGGGAAACAAGCAGCAGTCTGGTGTATGGTACACGCTGCTAATATTTTCCATTAAGCTCAATCACTCTTCCCTTTAACGATGGACGCTTACGTTTAGATCTGGTGCTAAGTTTTATACAACTAGCGCCTAGTAACATGCAGACAATTGAATGGAAGAGCGTGGCCGAGCGGTTAGGGAGCTGGACATGTAATCTGGTGTAGAAGGCACAAGTGTAATAACTTCACCCAAGTGTAATAAAGGTCTCATCTGTAATAAAATTTGGACCCAAGCGTAATAAAGGACCAAACATATATCGTCTAACTGGTAATATGCCAACAACAAATTATGACCAGCAAGAGGTAAAAAGTGTAAAGTCACATGACAACACGGAGACCGACCTGCCATTTAATTTTAAATAAATGTCAAATTTCACAAGAATTGCAAAAAACACAGGTAAAATTCTGAAAATTTCATGTGTAAGATGTCATTTAGTGAGATTTGACATTTATTTTCTCGGGCTCTAATAAGAAATTTTCTTTGGTGGTATTATTACAGATCACTAATTACAGTCGACTCTCTCTTAACGGACACCTCAATAAGACGAACACCTCTGTAAAACTGACACTTAGAGTTGGTCCCTGCCTTTCTCTACTCCTTTTATTTGACTCTCCATAAGACGGACACTTAGTGCCGCTCCCAAAGGTGTCCGTCTTAGAGAGAGTTGACTGTACATCTATAGCCCTTGAAAAAAGTAAAAAAGAATGCGATTTCGTTTAAACTATTCTGGTACAAGGAAAATTAAAACTACTCAATTTCCTGATGGAGTCCGTCTTAATTTTATTGTATGGATTTTCATCATACCATTGGAGATGATGTATCTGACCACTTCCTTGTGGCCATGTCGTGCGGCATAGTGTAGAGGTCTCCATCCCCTGTGATCACCAGCTGACAAACTCGTACCACTTCGATGTAGCTCCATTACCTAATAAAATGATTCCACAATGTTTCAATGAAAAGATGCAACGGTCGAAACAAAGATGATTAGAAGTTTCTCAGCTGGCTTGGCCAACCTTCAGGTAAAATGATGAAACTTTATATTGGTCTGTAACATGTAAAAACGTCAGTATGATACGTATTTCTTTCCTATGCATGCAGGTATCACTTGAAATGTCACGAAACGAATGACAGAAAACGTACGCAAATTACTTAAATACAATATTACAAGACAATGTTTACAAGTTGTTCGTCTTCTACACAGCCTGGAAATGGAAAGGACTTTTCCAATAACACGCCTATTGCCGAGAAATATTTCCACCAAAGATGATCTCACCTTATCTAAGTCGCCATTCTTGGAAGCTTCAATCATGCCTTTACAAAGAACAAAGAACAATACCGAGCATTACTATTCCAGCGACCTTGAAGGACAAACCTTCAACTATATAACCGTACCTTCTACGAGGATTTTTAGAAGTGGGAGAAATAACTGACAACCTGAGTCTTTTATCAATTTGAAGAAATTTCGAAAACAGTATTTTTCTTCCTAGTTTCCAACATTGAACAAGAATTAAAATCGTCAAAATACATTTAAGAACTCTACTCACTTTGTTCATTCCGCTTTACTATTTCGTTCTTAACCCTGCAGGAAAAACCAGAGATACTTTAGGAGATAGTTGAAAACTTTGCACTGCAACTCTTCCTTGAAGTAAAATAATTCTTTTGCGATACCTCCCACGCCTGCAGGATTCATCGTTATGACAACCACCTACACTACTACTGATCGGCGACAAGAAATGGGAAGTATTGTACTTCGCACAGAATTAGTGGTAAAGCTTGCAAGGGAAATCAACGGGGGCTATCAGTATAATAACCACATAACGAACAAAACGATGAGCAGAACCAAAAATTAACGAATGGAATCACTCAGTAATTGAATTACTGTTTTTCAAAAAATATAGCACTTGCTTCAGTTTGCTCGGTAACTTGTGATATATAATAATATCTCTTACTGATTTGATCGAAACACCCTACAAAAGGTAAACGTTTTACTCACCAAATGGTGTCCGCTTCATCGACGTCGGGGAAGGGCAATTTGAACTCTTTCCTATAAAAAGAAGCGCCAAAAATTGATGTACTATGCGGCACAACCAATTCTTTCTGGTCTTTTTGCATCTACCCGCTAAATATAAAGAGTGCATGCGATAAAGACGAGAGATTTTCGCTTGCATTTAATTTGCACAACAAAATCTCCCTTCAGCGAAAACTCCCTGTGAGTCTCGTACGTATTTACCCTCCCTTTTTAAATATATTTTTTGTAGATAATCCAGAAATCCATCATTAAGCAAAGGAAATAAACGAGCAAGCAAATTATAAACCATTAGGTCGGTTGTTTTTAGGTACCTGATAAGTCAGAAAAAGGTACTTACGCTGAAAAAGGAGTCATAACTGTCGTTTCCAAAATCTCCTCCACGCTCTCGGATGGGCTGGAACCAAGCGAACTGTTATGTCTCCGGGGAGGGGGTAGAGTAAACACTGACCGGCCGGCATCGGGTATGGGAGTAGGCCTGCTAGACAAAGGTATTCCAGGGACGGACAACGGTCTTTTGTGCGGAATTGAATTGCCAGTGTTGTTATTATTATTGTTGGGTTGTGTTCTGGAAAAAATTAAATCGTTTTTAGTGTAATTGTTTCCTCGCCTTTGCGGTTTTTTTCTTTTCATAGGGGTAGCCACAATTGGTGTTCTTGAAGATGGACACTTTGATTTGCGGTGGAGGCCTCGTTTCTAACATGTTGTATAGGACACTGGGAACCTTCCATCGTCCACGATACCCTCTACACCCACAAAACAATACTAGTAATAACCAAAGGTTACGAAGAGCGGGCGGCAACGATCAAAGGTCAGATGGTCAAAACACGCGCTATCAGATTACGAGTGATAGAAGGTTCAAACGAGCGTGATCAGATTGTGTTTTGTGCATTCTCTACATTCTTAGTGGCCGTGCCGTGCATGCGTAATGGCAACCTGGGCTGGGTTGTTCAAAGCTGCCCACGGTTAGTGTGAAATTTGAATTCAGACATGAAAGCTTAAAAAAGCAAATTCAGTTTAATTCTTTATACTATTAAATCATATTTAATGTAGTTAACGACTAGGAGCTATGGTCCCGGGTGTTTTGGGCATTCTTTGGTAGCGCATTGGTCGTCCGTAGCGTTGTGCGTGACTATGTTTGCGTTTGTAGCGTTTACCATTGTTCGTGAGCATGGGGGCAGTTTCCTGTCCAGCGGTATGTCGCTTTGGCGCATGCGGAGGCCACGTGCCTACGTTGTGTTTGCGTTGTACTCGAAGCTTTCTTGGCGTGGCGTGGCGTTCCAGTAGCGTAGCGTTTCTCTTGGTTCTGCCCCAGTTTTGGTTAGCTTGGTTTCTCAGTTCGAGCAGCATAGCGTTTTCTCTTGGTTCTGTCAAAGTTTTTTCCGGTCGAAGTGGTTTTTCGTTACCGTTGTTCGTCGTTGTTCCTGTTGTGGTTCGTCCTCTGCTGGAGAGTTTTTGGTTGTCTTCTGTAATGCCGCGCCCATCTCGCTCGACCAACAACAGCTTATCGGCGGGCCTTCCTACCGAAGACTCCCTTCCATCTACGGCAACGTCTGAAAGTCCTGCGTCGAGTACGGCTTCTAGTTCTTGGTCGCCTCAGTTGGCTGACTCCCTCACCGAGGCTGTGGTGCGGGCAATCGGAAACTCCATTCCCGCCATTATTTCATCTATCCAGAGAAACGCCTCCTCGCAGGCTTCTTCCTCGGTTCCAGGCGTTTCTGCTAGCGGGGCTCCACAACCTTTATTTTCTTCAGCGTCCGTTTCGAGTGCGAGTACAAGTGTCGGTGTTTCTTCGGTGGCTTCAGGTACGTTTACCCTTCCCGCGTTTGTTCCTACGTTTACGCCAGTGCCGGCCATTACCGTCTCGAGCTCGGCCCGCCCCGTAGCACCTACTCCCTCCACTTTCGCATCGCCCGGCGTTACTAGCGGTCTTCCAAGCCTTGAGTCTTCGTTGGCATCTGCCAAGTCTGAGAAGGCTTTTATCGTTGGTCCGGGGCATGCCCCTATTCCTTCAAAACTGGTGTCAAAAATTGTAGGTGGCCAGTTTGTCGAGTTGGCAGATTTGTTGTCCGTGAACCTCCGCGCCGTGGAGCAGGAGCCGCAAACGTTCCTCGATGGTAAGCTCGTGGTGTCCTCGTCAAAACGCAGGCAAGTGGAAATAAAAGACATTTTGACTTGGACGGAAGCCTTTACTATTTTTCAGATGGTGCTGTGAACGGCTCACCCTCATCGTTGGCCCGATCTCTCCAAGTATAAGCTGCTTATCATTCAAACGGCTCGTTATTTTTCTAGTGCAGCCTGGTTAGAGTATGACCTGGCGTTCAGAAAGGATGCGGCTGCCTCTGGCCTCAGTGACTGGTCAAGGATGAACTTAGACCTATACAACTTTCACTTAAGGTCTCCAGCCGTGGCCTCACCCTCGCCACCGCGGCCGTCTTCTTCCACGGCATCAGCTCCACTTCCTGCCGCCTCCCGTGACACCAGCCTGGTCCTTTGCCATTCATGGAACGATGGGCAGTGCCGCTGGCCCTTTGGTAGGTGCAAATATCGACACCGCTGCAGTAACTGTGAGGGTGAACACTCCCAGATCAATTGTCCATTTCCCAACTCCTCTGGCGCACGATCCCGATCTCCCCAACCCGGGGGGAGAGGGGGACGGTACTGAATGGGCGGTTACGCCCGGTGAGGCTTGTGTACATAGTGTAAATAGTTTTGTTGCGTTTTCAGTGGGGCAGCGTGATCTGCGTTCCTCGGTCAAGTCATCTTGTTCTGTTACAGTTCCAGTTAGTATACCCAGCGTTGCAGTTTCTGTTCATTGTTTCTCGCCATTAGCCCCAGCCTCCCAGGTCTCTCCACTACGGCTGGATCAATTTCAGACAGAGCTGCAGCATCATCCTGACCGGGCAGCAGTGGCCTATGTGTTGTCCGGATTACGTGAGGGTTTTCGCATTGGCTTTGAGTCGTCCATGATCAATCTTAAGTCCGCTTCTTCGAACATGCGTTCCTCCTTCGAGCACCCATTTGTGATCGACTCCTACTTGCAGACCGAAGTTTCCTCTGGCAGGGTGGCTGGCCCCTTTTCAGCCCCTCCTTTTCCTTCTCTACATATCAGCCGATTTGGGGTCATTCCCAAGAACAATCAACCAGGCAAATGGCGTCTCATCCTTGACCTCTCCTCTCCTGTTGGGCACAGCGTGAACGATGGCATTCCCAAGCCTCCCTTCACAGTGCAGTATGTTTCAGTCGATGCAGTTATTGAGGGCATCATGGCGCGGGGTGGCGGAACACTAATGGCTAAGTTTGATGTGGCCAGTGCATACCGGAATGTGGCTATCCATCCCGACGATCGCCCCTTGCTGGGGATGCAATGGCGTGGGAAGTACTTTGTCGATCTGGTTCTCCCGTTTGGGTTGCGTTCAGCGCCATTTATTTTCACTTCTATTGCGGACCAGGTTGAATGGATCTTGGTTCATAATTATGGTGTGGACTTCCTACGCCACTACCTGGATGACTTTTTTATCCTTGGTCCACCGTCATCCCCACTCTGCCACTTCTATTTACTTACCTGTGTTCGCCTTTGCGAGAGGCTTGGCCTCCCCCTTCATCCTGACAAGGTAGAGGGACCAACAACTTGCTTAACTATCCTCGGGATTGAACTCGACTCCGATAGGCTTCAGGCTCGCCTGCCCACTGAGAAAAGAGACCGGATTGTTACCTTACTTGAAGAGTGGTCCACCAAGCGTTTTTGTAAGAGGCGGGAGTTGGAATCCTTGATTGGCCACCTCCATCATGCCTGCAAGGTTGCCCCACAAGGGAGGACTTTTCTTCGTCGGATGATTGACTTGCTTTGAGCCTTCCGCCTGGACGATCACCCCATCAGGCTAAACCAAGAATTCCGTCGGGACCTTACCTGGTGGCGGGAGCTTTTTCAAACCTGGGATGGCCTCAGTTTCTTTTGCATGCCCACGTGGGCGCCCGTCCCGGACTTCCAAGTCTCGTCGGATGCTGCAGGCTCGCTGGGCTATGGGGCTATTTTTAACATCAAGTGGTTTTGCGGCACTTGGTCTATGCAGCAACGGTCGTTATTGATCGCGTACAAGGAGCTCTTCCCCATCGTTGTAGCCGCTGCCTTATGGGGTTCTCAGTGGGTCTCTCGGCGGGTCGAGTTCCTGTGCGACAATGAGTCTGTGGTGGCTGTACTTAAGTCTGGCACTTCACGGGACCACCACTTGATGGGGTTGCTGCGTCATCTATCCTTGCTGGCTATACGCCACTCATTTATGTTTACTGCGTCGTCAGTTCGCGGCTTGGCCAATCCAGTAGCTGACTCCCTCTCACGCTTTCAATTTCAGCGTTTTCGTCGCCTGGCACCTCAAGCCGACCTGACTCCTTGTGTGATTCCCGAGTCACTGCTGGCTGCACTCCAGACGTGTTGACCCAGAGGTGTCAGTTTCTGCTCTCCCAGGGACTCGCGCCCTCCACTCGGCGTGTTTATCTCTCTGCTCAACGTCGCTATATTGACTTTTGCCGCCGGGATGGTCGCCTTAACAGCGATGGCTCCTTCGCTCCTGCCGATGAGGAGACTCTCATGCGCTTTGCTTCACTCTTGGCCGACACCTTGACCCACGCCTCTATAAAAGTATACCTGTCAGCAGTACGTTCCCTACACATTGACCATGGCTTGTCGGACCCTTTCGTCAACTGCCTTCGCTTGCAGCGTTTGCTCAGGGGAATTAAGCGGGTTCAAGGTCCAGTATCACCCCGGCGCCTGCCTATCACCCTGGATCATCTGCGGGCGATTCAACATCGTCTGGACTTCTCCACGAGAGACCATGTGATGCTGTGGGCGGCATGCTGTTTGGGTTTCTTCGGTTTCTTACGAGCTGGGGAGTTCACGGTGAATTCCGCTTTTCAGCCTAGTATCCATATGACTGTTGCTGACCTGCAAGCTGATTCCCTGGTGAATCCTACCTGTTTTAAAGTTCATATCAAGTGCTCTAAGACTGATCCGTTTCGCATGGGCTGTGATATATATGTGGGGCGTGGTGAGGGCCCGGTGTGTCCCATCCGTGCCTTGGGCAACTTCTTGGCTCTGCGTGGCTCTTCTGAGGGTCCTCTCTTTACTTTTAGTGACGGTCGCCCTCTTACTCGGCAACAGTTGTCATCTACAGTTCAGTCTATCTTGCACTCAGCTGGCTATACTGGCTCCTATTCAGGCCATAGCTTCCGTATTGGGGCAGCAACTACAGCTGCTGCTCGGGGAGTTCCGGATCATCTGATCAAGACCCTAGGCCGGTGGTCTAGTGATACCTACCAGATTTATATTCGCACTCCAGTTAGCTCCATCGTCCACGTATCCAGACAGCTGGCTACATAGCAGGTATCTCTACTATCTTTGGGGCTGCCGTGGGGGTGGGTGCCTCAGGTTTGGGCCCTCGGGGCCTGGGGCTCTGCAGCCCCGAGCCCCCTTGCTCCGGGTTTCCTACCCGGAGGTCCCTTCGGCTTGGCGCGGGGGGGCTCGTGGCTGGGTTGCGGGTTGGTAGGCCTGTGGGTGTTCTTCTGCCTTGGGGTGTATTGCGGTTGCAGCCCCCTGGCCCATGGGCACCCAACCTCCACTCGCGACGCAGGCGTTAATTGCTTATAATTTGATGATCGGATACTCTGAATAGAATAGCGAAATTACTCTAGAAACTGCTTTTGAACGAAAGAAAATGAAACCCGGGTTAAAACTGAACCTCGGGTTAGCGCTAATCGACCTTCGAACAACTGGGTCCAGCTGGAGATTAGAATTTCGGGCTCCTCTTGTCATCCGTAATAAAATATAAAAAAATAGATAAAAAATCAAAGAAGTTAACAGAGAAAGGCAGTACAGTTGGGAGCAAAAATACCCGGCAAAATGTCATAAGATAATACCTAAGTATCATAAAATATTTTTGATGTAACAAATAAGTGCTCCTTTAACAAGGGATAATGCTTGCAACTAAGCTTTATGACAAGAAAAAAGAAACGGAAGATATTTGAAAAAAAAATGTATTAATGCATGTTAAATACGTCACTTTCATACTCTGGCTTTTGTAATGCGAGTCGAGGGAGTTTCTTACTTTAACGAATCATCCTTTAAGTCGACAATAAATATTCCATCCTCTAGAATATCCACTACATTGTAGATTTTCTCCTGAAGAAAACAATAAAGAAATGAAGAGGTTAAAGAAAAATGAAGTCAAAAGTCAGAGTGTTGAAAGAAACGAAGGTAACGATACAGAAAACGTTTGGTACCTGGGCTACATCGACACGATAAACTCTGTCAGGATATGTAGCTTCAGAGAAAAAAAGAAAAAAATCAGGTTCACCACATAATCCACCAAACTGCATCTACTGGTCGATAAAGTTATGTCTTTTTAAGTGACAAATATGAAACTGAAAAGCATTAACTAAATACCAGCATCAAAAGGGTGCGCAATGTCACCAAAAGTATACAAATCACAGGAAATGAGGAAATACATAGACTTGAGGCAAAGATATGCAAGGTTGTAGCAGAGGAACGAGTAAACTTTCCATTGCATTAGAAGAGATTTGTTTTCAGGCCAAACAGAATATAAACATTTTTGTTCCAAGACACAATGGTAAACTAGTGTACACAGCTTCCTGTGCGACAATCCACGAAAATCAACAAACAACGTAAGTAATACTCACTGTCTAAAAAGCACCACTCATCTGACAAAGGGGATTTCTAAGTGGATGTAAAAACAAAACAACAGTTACCTCAAGGCTCGCAGCCGCGTTAAAGCAGATGTCTTTGGCACCTCTTGTCCAGAAAGAATACAGAGTTTACTGGCAAGTCAGTGGAATCACAGTTTGTTCACAGCCCTCTGTTTTCCATAAAGGTGATGTTACACGAGACGGTTCGCAACGAAGATTTTTAGCGCAACACAGCGTTGCAACATTGTTGCGACATTGTTTCGAGTAGTTACAACATTGTTCCAACATTGCAACGCTGTGTTGCGCTAAAAATCGTCGTTGCGAATCGTCCCGTGTAACATCACCTTAAGATCGTTGAGATCAATCGCTTACTGAAACGTGCGGCCGTCTTGGTTTCAGGAGTATCAATCTTTCTAACAACCCGGGCGTCGGGTGGGGAAGAAGCGCCTCTCTCCCGGGCCCCCACCACTATAAACCCCGACGCACGCCCTCTCGGTACATATGAAATCAAGACGACCTCCCATTACAGAAAGCACTTGATCTCGACGATCTTGGCAAAATAAAGGACTTTCAGTAGTGTGGTAGGATTGTCACACAGTAGAAAATCATCCATGCAAAGACAATTAAAAGTAGCTGGGACTTTGAAAGACTCGTTATATTCCCCTCTTTTTTTCTTGCGATGGTCGAGAAAAATCTAATATGGCGAAAGAATACTTCTGCAGTAACTCCAAGGCGTCTTCAATTTGGAGGAATGTTGCATCGCCATCAATACGAGAACGAAATGGAACACTGACAAACACTGATATATTCGACTATCGTCACAAATGTTGACCCCGTTGACGAATGCTTTTACTTCATAGGTTCACCAATTCTTGGTACGGTCATCGTAACAGCGCGTGGTGCCAAATACTGTGGCCCCACAACAGTTCTTCCCCCACGAGAGATAGACCACCAAGGCAGGGACTACGTGCCCTAATATACCTCCCCCCGACAGTACCAACGAACTTAAGCGTACCTCCTCCTCTTCATCCTCTTTAAACCGCTCGATCCAAGCCCTCATCTGCTCCAAGTCACTGTCGGGTTCTATTGTTGTCGTTGCCATGAGTCTGGCTACAAAAAAATGAAAACAGAGCATTTTAATTTGCTCAAAAAATGAATGGTACAGTACTACACCCTCAATGACAAAAAAGTGCTATCGACTTTACTACCGAAGTATTAATAAGTTGCAGCTTGTTGTGGAACATTGCAGCACAGTAGGTTGCAGAAGAGCTGCTGTTTGCCATGGCACTACTCGGCAATTAGACTCCCTTCGACTGTATGATGTTTAATGCGGGTAGCAAGCATTACCCCTTTGTCTACCAGAAAAGTTGCAAGTGAGAAACGAAACACAACTGTTTAGCCTCGTTACCCTCATTCCCAGCGTACAGCTTACAATCAGGCTCAGGCTACCTACTAACATAAATCAAGTGATACATTCGCACCGAGTGAAGACAGGCCCTGAGCGCGTGGGATGACTTCATATCAAAATCGTAATGTTCATATTAGTAGTATAGTAAGGATGTTTAAATCCACTGTTTCCTAAACATCTGCTAATGAGATTGCCCCGCATTCAATTCAATAGATACAGTCAAGTCCTCTCAATGGACACCTCTATGAGACCGTCATCTCCTTGAATTGGACACCTGGCGTAGGCCCTGCCGTACCTCAGTCACTTTTTTGACGGGGACAAGACACTTAAGTGCCGGTCCCCACAGTGTTGGGTCATACTTGATGTAAAAACTTGTGAAGTTTTTCTTTGTTTTCTAGCTATTATTTTCCTTGGCTCTATTGAGTTGACTTCTCACTGGCTTCTTGTATTAATTGTTCTACGTCACTCGTGAGGTACACGGGTTTTCACACCCGAGTATGAGCCGCAGTGTTCGTCCGTAAACTCAACAGCGCACGATGCCAAACACCTGAATACAATATATCATAAACCTCTTTCATACTAGCGGCTTATTAATATATTCTTTTATACAAACGCAAAGGATGGAAATTAATTATATGTATGATAATCAGCCTTTCTGACCTTCTTTGAAAGTAAGAATTCTTTTGTATTTTGCACATGCCAACGAGGTCAGAAAGGCTTATTATCATACTAATAATAGAATACATTAATAGGCCGTCATTATGAAAGAGGTCTATTCATACAGAAATTGCGAATACTCCCAGAAAACAGATGATTCACGCATCCTCACCTGTCTCTCGCATCTCTGATAATTCATAACAGTGTCTTTCGTATTCCTTAAATCCTACACTGTAGATCTGTATCTTGACTGGCTCAGGACATGCAACAGGCCTGGAAAAATTGAAAATAACGAATAACAGTTTAACTCGATGAATTCATCAGCGCCAACATAAAACACGCATGACAAATAAATTATGATTCAGTACACGAGATTCGTCGAGATTCTAAAGGCAGACTAAAGTGGATAAAGCGACCCATTTCCGGTTACTGCTGGAAACCCTGTATACATTGCTAAACATCTAACAATGTATTAGAGTGGTTTTCGTTTGAGTGTCGTAAAACCAAAACCAAAGTAATTACTCTGGCCAATCACATAGGACACAGACAATACATTGAACCAATCAAAACTCGAAGTAATTACATGTGGCTGACGCAAATGTCACAATTGGCTTTGGTTTTACTTCTGATTGGATGAAAAGGTGGCGCGAATCTTTTAAGCCAATCGCATCGTGTAGAAAGTGCAAAACCAATTACTTTTCGACACTCAAATGAAAACCGCTCTATCATTTAAATAAAAGCGGACATCACAAAAAAGGTTTTTTGCACTTAGGGCGCTTTCCATTTGTCGGTTATTCTTTCCTGCTACGCTTACGCCAAATAGATATATCCTTCATGTAATAGTAATAGACTGTTTATCGTATACCTTGTATACCCTGTATACACAGGGTATAAAGGGTATACATGGGTATACAGGGTATACAAAGTATACTGGGTATACATGGGCATACAGGGTATATAAGGTATACTGGGTATACAGGGTATACATGGGTATACAGGGTATACAGGGTATACATGAGTATGGACATTCTATTACTATTATATGAAACAGTAGGTCTATTTGGCGTAAGCGTAACATGAAAGAATAACCCATTTGTCTGAGCTGAGCAGCCAGGCTATTTCCGTCGTAACGAGAATTTCGCTTTCAATCAAAACTATCCAGCCAGATCACGCAAATCCTAAATAGTATGCACGAAGAGATGGTTTTTCAGCTAAAACTCTTCATAAAAGCCTATTTTATTGTCAAAATGACTGGTAAAGCCACTTGAGTCCGCGATACAGTCAGGTGACGCTGGTCAGCAAATACCCTTTTTGACATCTGTCAATTGACCATATTATGGATGTCCACGAGGACGTCCGCTATCAAGTTCAACACAGATTGTATATACCTTGGTCCGGCTTGCTAGTTCTGATAAATGCAAAGCGCCCTTAGTCTCGCACTGAAAACGAGGGTTTTTGGACCTCCGAAACGGCCTAATCCCTACGGCAAATAATTTTAGTACTCTTACCCCATGCTTGAGTTGGTTCCTATCGTTCTTGTCTAATGAATAAAGAAAATACTGTTACTGCAAGATTGGTTAATAAAGTCACATACCTCGACGCTACCAAATTTGCATTACTAGGTGTCTTTACCCCTATGGAGATAATATGCCCGAAAATTTGGGCAAACCCACTGCCAAGAATGCAAAAAGGTCACATGCGGTTGACGTGCGTCGATCAAAACGGCCCTTTCGTAAGCTCAACTCAAAATTTGACAGCGTCAGGCCGTGTTCAAACGAGTCCGGATTAGTTTGCAAACACACAAACATCTGCGTCCACACGAGAACAATCGTCAGCGGATTGTTTCGTAAGCAGGCCCACAATGAAAAAGCTGGGAAAAAACCTTTTCTTGTGCGAAAAACATTAAACGCAAGAGTCTGCATAGGAATACAAACTTAGACGCACTCGTACGAGGATAGGTTCACTGCTTCAGCCAAGCATAGTACCTATAATTATTGACTTAGGTACGTTGAGCATGATCTTGCAGGTGAACGTAGTCCTGACTGTTGTTGACAGTGACTGACGTTTCGACAACCTGTGCCATAGTCATCTTCAGATTCAAAATGAGTTGTATCACGTCAGTTGATGGTATTAAAGGTTATTGACCTGATTGTTCAGTTAAGTCGCGATGTTATTGGTAGTCTGTCAGTTAAGCCATGATGTTATTGGCTATGAAGACTCGTAATGTCATTGGTGCGTTTTGAACCGTCTGTTGACAGAGTTAAACAGTAATTTATTGTTAGTTAAAGTTGTCGGTTGTCCAGCCATTCTCTCGTAACTAGTTTTGCTTGCGTCCGTAGCCAAGCCAGGTATCTGTTCATTCATACAAAGTTGACCTATAGTTGAATCTGAACAGAGAGGCTTACTGACCTTTACTTTTTGTATCATGTTCGCCTGGTTTCTTCGAGAAATCCGTATTATGCACGGAGTCATTCTGCAAGGTTCTGAAACAAGTAAAAAAACAAGATAAATTTTCACAAAAGAGAGAGACACTTTGCATTTGGTGATGAGTTGTCTCAAATTAGTATTCTAAGGAAAATTTTAAACTCATCCCCACCCCCCGCCCCAAAGATATACATAACAAACGTACGTTGAGAAAACGGGGATTTTTTTCTTGTCCAAAGTTTTAGCCTGTGGATGTATCGCTTATATTAATGAAAGTAACTGAGCTGCACTTTTTATGGTAGTGTTATTTAGTGTATCATCTTATTAGAGCGGTTTTCACTTGACTGTCGTAAAACCAAAACCAAAGTAAATACACTAGCCAACCAAAGGGCGTAGTAAAACCAAAACCAAAACCAAAACCAATCCCAATTTCGACAGTCAAGTGAAAACCGCTCTACAACAAAACGCTATCTTCACTTTTTCAAGAATTTAATTAAACCTCTAGTAAACATAAAAGAAGGAAGAACTAAACGATTATAGCAGAATAAATTCTAAGTTGCTCTAAGATCTTACTTTGTATACTGTAAAAAAACATCCATAAGGAAATGACAAGCAACTAACACAATACCATTAGTACAGGCAGCTGCGTTAATAGCCCCCTCGAACAACTATATTACTTTCAATCTTTCACATTCCCAGATTTCGCTTAAATGGATATGCATGCGTACCTCCATCCACTTGCATGGGTAGGGCCTTGCGAGTGACGAGAACAGCCTCTTTACACTGTGCTATTCTCTCACCGTGTCCTCCTACACGTGTTGTAGCCTGCAAACAACAACACGACAGTCAAAAACGCACGACAAACAACTACGTTCTAACTCTTTGCCTTATTAATCAAAATACTATCAACAAAGTGATATTGCTGTAACCAAGTTACGACACAATTCCTATACATAATTAGCCTTTAATACCCGTGCAATATTTCCCATATGAAGGCAGACAGGCCCGCTTGCCAGATCTGGGTTGCTCTAACCGAGTTCCCAGCAGGCGGGCAAGTAATATAGTTTACCTACCAGACTACCGGTGTTGAGACCTATCACCTCCAGAAGACCATCATCAAACCTTTGAGGCTGAAAATCCTGAAACCAAATTGCAACCAAAAGTCAATAATACTAATCTCACTTACAAGATTTAATTCAATTGGTTTTCTTTTTACTTGGGTCACAGTCCATAGGTTAGTGGATACAAACTTACACTTTCTCTCCCAGGATGGCCCCATGGAGACGTTCCAGCACTATACCTAGAAAAACGAATAATAAAAAATAAAGCCAAACTATACTGGTAAGGCCGGGTTCAGACGCCGATCTTTTTTCATGAGCCGAACCTAATTCGAATTAAAGCCGACCCAAATTATTTACACCGGCTGAACTGATTCAGACATCGATCTTAATTCCAGTCGAACTAAAGTCAAAAGGATAAAAATGCTATTTCGGTCAAACTGCTTGCAAAATACGTTATAATAATTTATACATTAGGTAAGGCACATGACGAGTTTGTCGTCTGAATCAAAACCGTTCCAAAGTCGCTCCAAAGGCAAAATTCCCGGCCTGGCTAGGGGGGAAGAACGGCTGAGCTGTTCCAACTAGGGCATTTCCGAGTTTAAAAAAAGGCTCACTTTCAAAATGAGGCCAAGTACACAACCTTTCTTGTGAAAATGAGCTATATTTGGATGAGAATGAAAAATCATTTCCATATCAAAGGCTGAGCACTTAACCTCACTTTGATATACAGGCCTGGGGGAACTCGGAAATGGCCCATTGAAATAGGCGTTCCTAACTGATTCCGACGTCGAACTTTTCATGAACCTAATTCAATGTATTAGGTTCGGCTCACGAAAAGTTCGGCGACTGAACCGGGCCCAAGAGTATCAGACGGCTGGAAAAGTTATGATCATACCATCAAGAACCTTAGTTCCTGCTTCGCAATGATAGGAAGAGCCGACATTGAAGAAAAAGCAATCATAATAAACAAAGGTACTTACGAAGGTATATTAACAAATAAAAGACATAAAGGCTTGGCTTCTTGAAGTTTTTCGGTAAGATCAACTCCATCACACTGAAAGACAAGATGAAGACACCTAACGAATTTGCTTTTGGCTGCCATATAAAGCACTGGTGATGGAATGACGCAAGTACATGGACAGAAAGGCACTAAGAACAGAAAGGAAGGACCAATACCTGTAGAGTAGTGTATTTGAAAAAATTATGGGCCTTTCGTTGTAGGAAGGTGGCACTGCCAGCCTAAAACAAAAAAACTCAGTCTTCAGAGCGCGCACAATGCTTTTAAACATGACTAAAATATTGGGCTTGTTTTGAAAATGAACTTTCTTCACCTACCACACAGACATAACTAAGAAAACATGTATGGCAACAAGCAACACTCACCTTCCCATAAAAGACAAAATTTTTAAATCTATTTTTGAATTTTTCTGGATTAGCCTCTGGAAAAAGAAAAATAACGAAAAAAGGGTCATTAAAAATTTCAAGACAGCAAGTCAAATCACATGTTGCAAGCAAATGAAAACAGATACAAATCGACACTCAGTAAGACAAACGATTTTAGCAAGAACCAGAAAGGAAGTCCTCCAAACTGTTCTCGGCTTGCACCCACCAGAGGCGTGAACTGTAAAAATAACCTTTTGCATTTATTCTCACTAGGAAATTCCTTAGCTAGAAAGTTTTGCGCCAATGATCAATCAGAATGACAAGAAGCATCTGCTATCCTTTAGCTTGTTGAATTTGTTTAATACTTGCTGCCAAAACAAACACGCAAAGGAACTTCTGATTTCATTGGAAATGTGACATATGAGGCAGATCTTTAGGCTTCTCACCTATTTTGGCAATTTTAAATGCTCTGACTCAACTTTTATTGCGCAATCACGCGGTGTAACTTTAATTCTGCATACTTCACTTGAAGGATTAGTTAATGCTTATGCTGATCGACAATAATTTCACTGGCTTAATCTTAATTTTACCTTGCCTTGTATTCCTTATTACAATCTACATTAAAGATAATGAAAAACAAACTAGCTAAAAGGCTCAAATAAAATATAAAAACACTTAATTTAAACATATTGCAATACTCACCTCTTGATTCATGGAATTCTAAACAAACTTCAGCATCAAATCCTAAGCTGAAATAGTTGTTCATTACATTCAATGGAAGCTGCAAATCACAAAGACATAGAATGATCAAGAAAATAATTGTGATAACACTGCTTGCTCATTAGAAAACTGTAGATCAATAGCAAATGAATACTTTTCTCAATGCAGCTATGGTGGCTCTAAAATTTCAAGTGTGCTGATGAAAATCCTCTTAATGTGACCAAATGAAGCCTCTCCCATATAGTACCATATGTTTTCTAATAGTGACTATTATTTTTGCTACATTGTAAATGATCTCCCTTCCCATGGCCGGATTTTCTAGTCCTCTATTATTACTCTGCACTGAATCACCAATCATGTTTGTACCTTGTCTGCCACTGCTTCGTCACTGGGGTCAATTTCACCTGCTTCGTTTGCCATTGCTTCAAGATTCCATCTGGAAAAGTCAGTCATCTTAATTAATTATAGCCTTTATTCAACTGCATGAGAAATTACTGCAATTTAATTGCCTTAGAACAGTGGCATTTCAGCTTAATTTGAAATACCTACACACGAAAGTTACTGTTTCCATGCTAACCAAAACCACGAGACAAGGTGGCCAGGCAAGTTCAAAAACAATGGCGGAAAGACTTCTAGATTTTCAAGAGGAAGAGATTCAAGAACTCAATACACAAATTCAGAAAACCAAAACACTAAGAAAAGTGCATCAACCTAATGGCTCATGAAATTACCTACACGTATACTTTTTCTGTATGGTACTCTGCAGCGAGTAGAACTAAAAAAATTGACTTTTTCAAACTTTTGGGACCAGTGCGAGTGGGTACATCTGACTAAATAAAAGTCTATCAGCAGTGGCTGAAGATTGGTTTACATGTACAAAATAAGCATAACATAAATGTTCTTATATAATAACAAAGATTATACAAGTAAGAACGTATTGAAACAAATGGCAATGACTGTACTTATACTCCAGTTCACAGGTAGAGTGAAAAGCAATATTATTACGCAAACACAAGAACAAGGGAGGGGCATGGAAAAGGCAAGTTTTCATATTCTCATCCTTCACTTTTGCTTACTTCATCAAATGAAAGAAATTCTTGTACTGATCCAGAAACATTCGCTTGCTGGGCTTTATTGGATTAAAATACTATACTTTGATCATTTTATTACAGATTCAAGGCTGAAATACATGTAAATGCCTGAATTTTCAAACAAAACGGTTAGTGGTCAGGGTCTAATTAAAATCAGACCATACCTGTCTAGTTGTACAACACTTCCTTGATCAATGTGCGTGAGAATTCTAGACAATGGTTCATCAGTATAACCCTACAACAAAACATAATTTTATAGCAAGTCAGCTTTTCGCTATAGCTATTACTGTACTATCATCTTCCAGTAGAACCCTGCTGTAAGACCACACTCTTATTATGTCCATCTGTTCTGGCCGGGATAAACACTACAGTCTTCTTCTTGATATACTCACTCCTCCACAACTGCCACATAACACAACTACTCAATGAAGCCCAGTCAGCATACTCACCCCTCCCCAGTTGAGCACTCTTGACAAGTCATTTCCTGTTCCCAGTGGAAGCACTGCAACTGGGGGTGGGGGTGTGATTTTTTGCTTGTCGAGTTCAGACAAAACCCAGCCAACCTGGACAAGACACAAAAAAGGCAACATAAGTTACACTTCAAAATTTGCAAGTGTGCCACCTACAAAATACTTGTCTATTAATCTTTAAGTGCAGGAACTTTAATAACTCATTATTTATGAGTCATCAAGGTGGACCACACAAAAGGTTTAAAAAGTAACTCACAGTGCCATCTCCTCCACAAGCCAGTATTCTAAGATTTGGAACCTTTCTGTACAATTCAAGTCTGCAACGAAAAGAACAACATATTTGAAAGATGCAGACTGGAAATGTAAACATGAACAGAATTTGAGAATTTTTTTAAAAAACCAGCTGGTCAGTTCCCCACCTGCTTATTGCATATGACTGACAATGTAATCTAAGTTTCAACTCTGAATCAGAATCTTAACCCTTTAAGCTCCAAGATCCACATACAAATTCTCCAGACTGATCTCCATACATTTCTTTGAAGAATAGTTGGGAGAATTTGGTTTAAGATCAAAGCGTTCTCCCTTTGGTAATTAATTTAGTAATTCTCATAAACTTTACTCTTGATGATCTGCTAATGTTGTTATTAGAAAATTGATGTCAGTCACAACTGGCCCACAATTCAAGTCATAATAAGTGAAATAAATGAAATAAAGAAAAAATAATGAGATTTGATGAATACTTACCCCATTTTGGGACCTCCTCCCCCCTTGGATAGATCAAAAACTTGTCTGGGGTTCAGCAGCCACTGGAACTTGTGCATGATTTTTGCACCCTGTGGTAAGAAATAATAATTTATTAAATTCCCACACATGTAATAAAAGCTGTGTAGTATGTGATGACAATGGCTAAACCTCCCCATAATCTGTGCCGATTTTATTAGAAATAATACAATATCTATTTTTACTGTAATTTTCAAGCCAGAGAATTTATCATAAGAGTGACAAATCACAGTGCTATAACTTGAACTAGGAATGAAAAAAATAAACTTAACAATAGGACCAAAGTGGGGCCCAATTCCGTCTGTAATCATAGAAGTGATTAACAAAATTACATAACAGCATAGGGGAGTCCGATTTTTGTTAAACACCATGATTACAAACTGAATTGGACAAAACAAAGTTCTGTTACCAATTCAAACACAGGATGTTCCGTTTTTTGCTAGAAGTGAAAATAAAAAACCTATTCAAGTGCGCACATTTGATGGCATGTACTTGAGTACTGTCCAATTACTAAGGCATGACTTGTACTGTCCTATTACACTGTCCTATTAGTATGGAAATCAGAACGGTTGAAAGCCAATTCGATTTGACAATTTTGTTATAGTTATGATTAGAAGGAATACTTAAGATGACAGCCAACCTGATTTCCACCACTCCTTGGGTTTATGAACACAAGTAGAGGCTTGCGTTGAGCAGATCCAGAAGGCTTGATCTAGTTAAGTAAACATGGGATTAAACTTTTGTGGGTCCTTAATTACGCATTTTTCATGATCGTCAAAAATTCCCGAAATTAAAGACCCGTGAATATAAATCCTCACATCCTCTAATTTTCATATTTGTTTGCTGCAAATAAAAAAGTTGTCAAAATAAAACCCCGCAAAATACTGTCTTGCAAAAATCATGAAATTATGTGCAGTGTACCAACAGAGTACTCAAAACGCATGGTTAACGAAACAAGGCAGCCGATTTCTGTTTTTAGAAAATGAAAGTAAGCCATAACTTACCACAAACGGTTTTTTTTCCTGAAGAAAAAAGAAGCAACGAGGTTATTATTATTCTTTTATCAAATGTGTAAGAAATAAGAAGTAAAGGCTGTTATGAAGTAAAGATTTAACTAATTATAGATTAATGGTAAATTTAAATAATTTAAATGTTGATTAAGGAGTTCAAAACAAAAATGTGATGATGACCTTAAACAGTGGAACTCAGCTATAATGAAGTGCCACGGTACCGAAAAAACTGTTCATTATAGTGGGGTCTTTGTTATCAAATTATCTGGTTAACAGCAAAAATATTTGTTACAGTGGGGTAATTTAATAAATAATAATTACCAAAAATTCAATACTGCAAGACAGGAAGATGTGTCAGCATGCTGAAGCATAAATTGAACACTACAATAGTACAGACGTACACGTATTTCTCAAAACCAGAATAAAGCAAGCTGTAATTTCTACTCAAATATGTTGTTTCTAATGACTCTGCAAGCAACTGGAACAACTATATGCTACAGCGGGGTCAATTGTGGGTTGGGAGCGTCAAAATCTAATTGTTATGGCAGGGTTCGTTTCCACATATTTTACTGTAATTCTGCCAGGCTTTCAGAAGCTTTTAGTTTTCAAGAGGTCTTCGTTATAGCAGGGTTCCACTGTATAAAGTACTTTTTAACTCTGGGCAAAAAAAGAGAATAAAAAGCACACTAAATCGTTGCTTCTTTTAAGCAGTAAAAGAGCTGCTCAAAGTGTCAAAAATAAGTAAAAAATCTTAAGTTTGAACTTATTCATAGGTGTTATAAGCTTCCTTGAATCACTTGCAACAACTTAGACTGAGTTCAACATAAGTTTTATCACAGCAGCGATTAGTACTAAATATCAATTTAGAAGATTTCTGTTCAAAACCACTCCTAGGACTTATTTCAGACAAGGCTCTTAGGAAATATGGACAATACTAATAATTAATATGCCAATAAATTGGGATTGCACATAAAATACGGGAAAATTGTTTTTCAACTAACAAGAAGATTAAAAAAATAATTATTTTATTCACACACGAAGAAGACAAAGCTTGCTTTTCAATTATGGAGAAGTTAAAGAAATAACATGACAATTGCAAATTCTGTTAGTGTTTCAAATTAACAAAGGGTCTGGTGTTATAACGCAGGCAATACAATGCATTTAAACTGAAAATTAAGATTACAGTTTATTTCTTTTATGGTTACAGTTGCTCGGCAGTCTCTTTAACACATAGCATTTTTAATAACAATGGCAAAAAGTGTTAAATTTTTAATTAGCAAAATCATCACAAGATCTTATTAATGGTTTTTAGATTAAATTTCTTTAAAACCTCACATTACAGCAAGGATTGTTGCAGTTATGGTACCAGTCAAGATCAAGCAAGATGAAGTCATCGCTGTCACTCTCACTACTGCTCTGTTTCTGTTATAAGTGTTCACCATCAACAAAACATAACAAAAATTGACTCAAACAAACTTGAAGAAATGAATAGCAAAGAGATAGTGTTAGCATCAACAGAAATTGCCGGGGTTAAACATGACAAAAAAATGGTTTAAGGAATAACTGTTATTTTTATAAGAAGCTTAGTTGAATTTATCTGAAAAATAACAATTATCTAGACATTAAAATAATATTGTACGTAGCGGTACTGTGACTGACTGAAGTAATATGAACTGATTAATGCATCAGTGAATATCAAAAGTTCAGACATCATCGTCCGGTAATGTTGCTGTGATCAGTGGCAAAGTGATGATTGTGAGGCAAACAACAAACGGGCCCTCACTAATTATTATAAGAAAACAAACCTTTGTAGATTTTCTCTTAACAGATCTCTTTTTATTAAAGCTGCCTCTCTTCATAGAAGAACCTCTTACCTTAAACATAAAAAAAATAGCACATAAACTCAAGATGGATAACGCAGAAGATTTCACTGTTTTTTCGAAATATGTGCTACTCAAAAGTGCATGATGGGAATCGTGTAGCAAAAAAAAATGCAGTCAAAGCAATGTATCAAAGGAAATAAGACAACTGGTAACTTGAATTGCACATTTGTTTCGTACCATTATAAGATACTACAAAAAGAAACATACAACTAAAACTTGAAAGTGAGGCATTTGTATACAATATATGTTACAGGTCAAATTTGATTTCAGGTTGATTTTCATTTAACCTGTTGTAGGCTGATTCTCAATTTCCTTACTTTCCTGGGGCCCGTTTCTCGAAAGTCCCGGTAACTTTTCGGGCCCGAAATCAAATATTCAAATCGAAATATAAAGAATAAGAGCGCAGGTCCTGGCAAGCAAACTACTCCATTTCGTTTCATTAACTGATAGTTTCATCATGTTAGATGTAAAACTATTGAAACTTCGATCTTTAACGTAAACGGAGACAGCTTACCGGGCCCGTTAATAATCGGGACTTTCGAGAAACGGGCCCCTGGCCCTAATTCATGGATAATTAGGGCTAGGAGGTAAAGGAAACTGAGAATCAACCTAGGTTTAAAAAATTCAAACTGAAATCAGGTTTGACCTGTAACATATACATGTTCACTCGCAAATATGGGGGGTGGGAATGGGGGGTGAACAGTTCATTAGACAGACAAATGACAGAAAAATGACTTACTCTTTTAGGGGGGAGTTTGACAACCCATGATGGAGGAACTATAAGATTGGCATGAGCTCCCAAATCACACATTTCATCTATCTTCTGCATCTTGAAACACTCTACTCTGTTGTGGTACTGAAAAGAAATCAGCTTATTCAGTTTAACGACAAGTATGTTACATTACGCTGGGTCAAGGTTCTAAAAATAACTCCATGCTTGAGAAAAGACCAGTTATCATACAGAAACTCAGCACTACGTTAATTTTTTTTTGGATAACACTAAAAAAATTTAATTACAATGTCACTTACTGCAGCTTTGCACCAAGAACAACTGATTGCGATGATATCCTGTTTGAAAAAAGATAATCATTTGCTACAATACAAATGGTACATAAAACAGTTTGAGTGGAGTATCAAAGGCTGCTTTCATACAAGATTTTTACAGAGGATACCCAACAGTGAAAATAAATAAACAGGAATTATCCCCACATATCAAATTTGTATGAATGCTTGTTCAACATCAAGTGTAGGAAAATTTGTCCAATCTTTGTTTATTCAAATCGCTTTTACTTGAGCAAGACGACCTTCCTGGACGTATGGAGGGGGAAGCTATTGTACAGACAACTAAACAGGACAACTACACAATACTTTGAAAACTACAGTCGAACCTCCAGTAACAGCCATCTCTCTGTACATTATTTGTGATTGGATAATTACATGTACCATTATGGGATGCACAAACTTAGCACAATAAACAAGTTGTACTCCCTGAAAAAATTGTCATATGACACCCCAACCTCCCCATAACGGCCACCTCTCCAGAACGGCCACTTTCTTCCGTCCCCAAGGTGGCCATTGTGGAGAGGTTCGACTATAAAATGTTTATTGTCAACACGCAAATAGTCACTTTTTAACAACTAAAAAAACCTACATGAATCCCAGACACTGTTTTCATCACAATCTTGTCAAGAAAATGACTTCTATTCTTAACAAACCACCAGGAACTAAAAATTCACATACAAGTAAAATGATTTACCTTGGATTGAAAGGACAGCTTATGTTGAAAAGACTGTTGCCACAGAAAGAAAACAAAAGTAAATTTATCAAGATTAAAGAACAGAAGATTAACCAATAATTATATGTTTAAAGAAATGCTTGTACAATGACTGTAAAGAAAGCATTCTGCATCATTATCATTGAGTACGCACCCTTTGTAATGCCTGGAAATTTATCAGTCTATAGTAGGAACAAGTATAGATCATAGAATATTTTACATGAGAAATAAAAACTCAGGGTTTTCATTAAGAATTCTAGTAGCAGGAGAAAGATACAACATTTCAGGAGGATATTTTTAAAGCCGCTCCACGTCAGAATAAAAAACCGTCCTAAGCTACTGAACATTTGTGCATTTTGAGAAAAATTCAACATTCCAAGAAAACCTCCACTGGTCACTTGATACACTACCACCACTTTTGAACAGTACTGTAACTGATTTACAGTACCATAAATGACCTAATAAATGACTGGCGCATCTATTTGAATTTAAGGGTCCAAGCGAGGGTGTTTAATAGATAGGAGGCATCTAACAGAGAGAGGCATATATTCTCTTAATTGTAACAAGCTCAACAATCCTAATATGCTTCAGCAAAAATATCAAGAGACTTTTTTAAAAAGCGGAATATCCACTCCATCCATTGATACGTCTGGACATGTTTCTACAATCGGCAACAAAATAAGTTGAGACCTTTTGCCCTAAAGGGGCTTTTTGACGTTTTCCTGACTTCAAAAGAGGAAAATATAGCTTTTCCTCTCCCATCCCCTCCACGCAATGTTGTGCCGCTGTTGGAGCTACCTTTAGAAAAAAAAAACACCCCAACTTTGAATGGAGGGGACAGGGGAGGGGTATGGATTCTTACGCTCTCTGAAGTTACCCTATTTGAGTATGTCTCAACAATTTTGTCACTGACGAGACCCATATCACTCTTTCAAATCCCAACATCAATGTCAGAATCCTCGCTCAGGGTTACTGTGTTGTGATCGTTAGTCTATCCTTACTATAAAATTGACATTGAACAAGATTAAATATGCAAAGCCTTGTTAATTAACCAAGATACTGAATAAATAGAATGATTTTGCTCCTTTTAGCTACTTTCTAACATTTTGCACTTAAATTTTCACAAGGGGCATCTATTAGACAGGAGGCATTTATTAGAGAGGGGTGTCTAATACAATTTTAAAAGCATAGAGTGGGCGTTTATTAAATGGAAGTGGACCTCTATTTGGTCATTTATCATTATTTATGGTAACTAACAAGTTCTCAGGTTGAAAATACCTTGCCACAATGATGACATTTGCCTTCCTGTTTCCGCCTATGAACCCAGTGATGCCGCACGTTACTCTAAAAAGGTATACAGTGTAGGAGCTTTACCAATCAAATTGAGAAATTAGTGTTCTACATTTACTGATGATGCCTGGAGTAAAAACAGCTTTTAATAATGCCAAGGATTAAGACAAAACTGCTTATAGTACATGTATCCATTAAAATAAACTAACCAGTTATAAAAATATTTATCACAGCAGTGCAAGGAGAGCTAGAGGTGGGATGAACAACACAGCGCAAAGGAAAACTCTACGCACCACTGAATCAAATGATTGATGTAGCGAGCTACTGGGCATGCGCATGCCAAAAGACCGCTGACCTCTGGCACTTAAGACGCTCTTAGTTGTGAACTCCTTTAAATTGCATTTAAATGCATTTATTACACTTCCTTATGCACTATGAAACTTAACCTTAACAAAGAAATTACTTGTAAATGACAAAATCACAGCTTCTTGTCCAAACACTGTACTTCCCAAGCATCATATCAAACTTTGCAAACAACAAGCTACAACTTCAATCCGTTTTAATATATTTAAAGTTTGTCCACCCATGCTTACTTTTGTATCAGCTGACTGTTTTTAATACCCTCTTTTAACGTTTTGAGTAATTATTTCAATTTGGTTGTAGTTCCTACTAATAGAATTTTGGTTGAATCTGTGACACAGCTCCTAAACTTATGGTGGAAATGCTGTACAGTATATTAACACAACAAGTTCATCAAGTTTTTACCTCATGAGTACCCTTGGGGTGAATTTCCCGAAATGTTGGTTTGCATTTGAAATTTATCTGAAATGGAAAAACACAAAAAACACACCATTCAGAACAAAAACGTCTTGTAAAGAGCTCAATAATATTTATACCTATAGAGTCTTAAAGTTTGACGTCATAAAAAATTTACTTTGTGAAACTATAGGATTTTTGGGGGTATTATGAAAGAACAATATCCAAAAGGCCTATGTATATTAGCATTTCAGGGCAAACTGTCTTTGAGATATTAGCCCAGTTATTCTCTGATGACTCCATACAAATCTGTCTAAATTTGACTCAGTTCATAACATCAGGAACCACATCAAATTTAGAAGGATTTGCATGGAGTCATCAGAGCAAAACAGGTCTGGTATCTCTGAGACAGTTTGCCCCACAATGCTAGTTTTTGGCAAGTAGGCCTTTCAGATGTTGTTCTTTCAAAATATCCAAACAAATCCCATAATTTCAAAATTTTAATTTTTATGACGTCGTCACTTTAGAACTCTATGCAAAATGTACCGACAAGTCATACACATCCCTATCATTTTATTTCAGGTTATTCTTGACAACAGAGATTGAACCGAGGTGTACAAGCTAGTAACAACTGCAAAAAAGTCTTGTGCAGATCCTAAAATTTGTACCAAATTGTCCAAAACCATTTTCAAAACATTATTAATAATAATATTGATTTTTTTTTGACAGTTTTTCATGAGCATCGATCAACTCCTCTGACAGGTAATACAGGAAGACGGATCAGTAGCTAGATAGTAGATAGGGAAGTTAAAGAGGAAACAAGACTGATGTTAAACAATTTTTTTCATTCAGTAAAATGTCCAGTCAAGATGAGGACCAGTTTATTGCAAAATAAATTATTTTGCTTACAGGATAACTAAAGAAATCTCATGTCTTGGCAAGTAAAATCCTGTATTGCAATGTCACTCAAAATCAACAAGAAACTTAAAAGGAGATATCAAACACCAGATAACTCAGAAAAAAATTCTTAGTTCTAGATCCGATGCTCTCACCACTAAGGCTACTGGAGGCTCTATAGTGAGCAGGGTCAAAATTTAATGTGATAATTACACCATCCATAGAGGACTAAGCCACCCATAAGGACTTGACATATTATTTATCAAATACAACTTTACACTTACCCTGTATAGCTGTTCTATACACTTTGTATGTACAATAATTTTACAAGCTGTAGGGTCAAAATGAAAATACACTTTCTTTATTAGCTACTGTAATACAACGTCAAGAATGAAAGAAAAAACTATAAAATTCCACTTTTTATACCACTAAATGAGAAATTTCTGCAATTTGATTGGCTTAGAGCAGTGGTTTTTCATTTGAAATACCTACATGTGAAAATTACAAAACTTTAGCTGGTAGTGGTATAAACAAATAATAGCATGATTTGTACGTGATATTTGGCATAAATACCACTTCGGATAGTTCAAAGTTGTCTCAAATTTCACTCGCCTAACGGCTCGTGAAATTACGTACAACAATTTCAAAATATCACTCTTGGTATTTATGCCAAATATCACTACAAATCATGCTATTACCTATACAAAGAGGCCCTGTTAGGGTAAAATTTCAACAAGCTACATGGCCTTGAAACAGTGACATAAGACTAGATGAAATGGCGACAAAGAAGATAAAGATGGGTTAAATACCAACAGGAACATGGCCTACTCAAAATGCCAAACAACCATAATATTTGAAATTCAGACTAAGGACATACGTACACCCACTAAGAGGACCTCTATAAATTTCAGCAACATAAGGCAGATGAAACTGAGTGGTAATAACAGTCGGTCATCAGACATTGTCTGATGAAATCCCACTTGCAGTCGGACATGACCACCAGACAGATCCATTTCTTAAGACTAACACTTTGTTGCTGAAGATTCCCATAGCAATTAACGAAATTTAAAATCAACAAAATGCATGCTCAACAACTTTTCAGGTTTGTCAAAAAATGCGGAGCAAAGCTTATTAGTTTACATGTATCTAAGGAAGCGAGGCAATTGAAGGCTTGGTCCCAGACAAAAAGATCGATCTCAAGCAGTAATTTGTTAACCACTAAATCGACCAGGCCTCCAACTGATGTTGAAGAAGATAAGAATTGTCCAGTTACTGGAAACTCAGAAGTGAAAACACCATCAAGGACATGGTTCTCTCCTCAATTTGTGAAATGAAGGATTCTTAAAATTCAGAATATGGACACATGCACCCAGACAAGGCCTCAACACTAACTTGAAAGGTGTCTGCAGTTGCATACATATGATAAAACAGGCAAGACAAAACGATAACCTGATTCTATCATTCTATCCCTCTGCAAAATTAATACTCATTCCTAGACATACCTGAACACTTCTTTCTTGGTCCTGATTTCTATAAACAAAACACTTCAATTAAGTTCTTAATCATTCTGGGAAACTGAAATAGTTTGAAAGCAGAGAATAGAAAATATATTGTGTATGTATATTAAATGCAGTGTTCTCCCTAAATTTTCACTCAGCAGGTAAGGGACCATTCATGGACGGTAAGGCAAAAAATATATACTTTTCTAAGAGGGGGGGGAGGGGGGTCAGTGGAGTGAGGGACATGGACCCGCCCTCACTGGGAAATTTTTTATTCCCATATTTTAAGACCTGTTTTACACAAATCTGCTGTCGTTATCTTTAGACGACCAATTAAAACGTTTGATTCCAATAATTTTACTATGTCTTTAATCTTCTCTTTCCAAAATGCATGTCCCTAAAAAGGAAAACTGCATATACAGTACTAGCACAGAACCAAAATTATGCACGCGCAAAAAGGGGCGTAAGAAGTTGCTGCGCCGCAAGAACGTGCAAGCCACCGCAAGAAGTGAAAGTGCCGTATTTTTGCGGACCCTTTGTGGTTTACCCGCAAGAACTTTGAAACGAAAGAAGTCAAAAATCTTCACCGCAAGAAGCTAGAAAATTACCGCAAGCCTCAAGAAGGCGCATGAAGTTCTTTAGAAGTGTTACCCTGAAAGAAGTTTGTAGTGTTTGTCGCCATTTTGTTACAACACCGTTTTGTAGCGTTGACACTAATTCACTCTGTGGCAGCAAAAGGTAATCATGAAAGGACACACGTAAAAAGTTGCCTGAGAAAGCGAACAGCTTTCTGTTTTCTCTGCAAAGTGAACACTTCAATCGTTCAGCTTTTCCAAAGTTAGATAAAGCGTGTGAGGGGTTTCTTTAACAAAACGATCTGTAGTTTCGAACATTTTGATTATTTGGATCATTTCATAGTACAATACCATAGTCTCGGCAAAACAAACCAAAGGTGTTGAATTTCTGCCCACAAGAAAACATGGGAATTATTATTACTTTATTGCGCTAATTTGAAAGAGCCTTTAGTGAAAATATTCCTTACTTTGCTTTAGCATGTTTTTTTTGCGAGAGCGCTTTAAGTTGACACAGTTGCACGTGCGGTCTCAAATTACACGGCTCTTTTGCGAAACATAATACGATCGTTCCTTCTTTTTTCAAGCGCTGCTTTTTTACCAAAATTGTAAACATTTCCTCGCTTAAAAGGTTACCTTTGCTCAAGATAATTTTAGGAAATTCTTGTGGTTAAATTTATAACCGCAAAAGAAGTTCTTGCGTCTTGCTGGATTCAAGCGCAAGCGCCCTGCAAAAAGCCACACGAAGTTGCCAGCTTGCGGATGCAAAAAGAAGTTCCTGCACGTGCATTATTTTTGGGCTGTACGTTTTGTACTTAGGTAGCTATACTTTTCCATACATTCATTCATTTTCTTGTGAGGATCGGATCGGATCACAACTTGCATATTTTTTTTTTTAAAAAATTATTTAATTTTGGTAAACCTTTAAGCAGTTGCAGGCGGTAAGAAGTGTTGCTTCAGGCGGTAAATTTTACCGGTTACCGCCTGATAAGGAGAACACTGTAAATGTATTACATGTATGTATTGTGCTTAAATAAATTTAAGCACAATACAGTGGAATCACAATATTTTTTCAAAGGGTCAAGGAACTGGCAAAATTTGTTCGCTACAATGAGGTTTTGTCATTAATCGAGGTTCTTTTCTGTATGTTGTACTATACCGGAGTGAAGAATATCCTAATAAGAGGTTCATTATATGTATATAATCAAGGTTCCACTGTATACCTATAAGCATCTTAACAAAGACCTTTATCCCATAGGGATAACTCTTAATTAGAGTCAGTTCACTTACAAATGCAGTCCTGAAGATACATGTACCGCTCCTGATACAATTACTACCCGTCTCTTTAGTTACAGTCAAATCCCACTTTACAGACTCCCACTTAATATGGACACCTCTTTATTACAGACAGTTTGCTATGTCCTTGGGAAACTAAAGCCCTTACATTAGAGTGGTTTTCGTTTGAGTGTCGTAAAACCAAAACCAAAGTAATTACTCTGGCCAATCACATAGGACACAGACAACACATTGAACCAATCAAAACTCGAAGTAATTACATGTGGCTGACGCAAAGCGCGGGAAAATGCATGCGAGCGCATCACAATTGGCTTTGGTCTTACTTCTGATTGGATGAAAAGGTGGCGCGAATCTTTTAAGCCAATCGCATCGTGTAGAAAGTGCAAAACCAATTACTTTTCGACACTCAAATGAAAACCGCTCCATCTCTAAATTTAACCAGCTTAATACAAACACCTTGTTAATACAGACCCACATAATTGGCCCCTTCAGTGTTGGGATTAATGGGGTTTTACAGTACATTGAAAAATCTACTGATGATTACAAATATTGCAGCTTAAATGCTAAAAGAAGCAGAAACTGAAAAAGGTGTAGCTCTTCAGGGCTGTTCTCTACATGAGCCTGGTGGCCCCTGGGACCCACCTTTTGGCCTCAGGCTTTATTATTATCAGTATTATCACACAAATCACGTGCTGGGCACCCTTGATCATACAGGTTCAGAGCACTGGGCTACTTTCAATTTACCTAAGAGCACACCTTTGGGTTTGGTTAATTAAAATAAACACTCTCTCACCAGTGATTCACAATCATTTGAGTAACATGAGTTTCCAGAAGCATCTGTATCCATCCACAAGTGCTGTCCATTCATGTCACTTTCCTGAAAACAAACACAATACAGACATGTTTTGGGATTAAAGGGGTAGTCTCATGAGGTGCCCACGTTCGGGAAATCGCTGTCAAAATCGATCTTCCCGCTCTGCCGCCCTCGTTTTTAGTGAAAAAGGGGGCAGTAGGCAACACACTACTTTTACTTCCGGCAATCCCGCCAAAATGCTGCTTGTTTCAGTAAGTGTTCTTTCTCTCGCAGGTAGATTATACTCTGGATAGTTCTAAATTTTGATTGAGCAAATTTATTATGCAATTTTTGCCACTTGTTTCACACTCAGAGGTCATGATAAGCATATGAATTTTCTTGCGTGGTTTTTGTTTATAGTGGGCAGGATTTGCCTTCTGATACAAGAGCATTTTCTTTAACCTCTTTAGAAATGTAAAGCTCTTTATTGTGGCTAAATAAGGGCTTCCATTCTTAAAATTTCTCCAAAGTCCTTTGATCTAAATGACTAATCAATTTTCCTTTGTCCGTGAATGTGATGGTTTCTTGCAATGCTTTGTCACGCTGGGCCCAACTCATTAGTGTTCGATGTAGGATGTTAAATTTCACTGGTACACTGTTGTTTATGAGAATGTTTTTCAGGCCCAGGCTTAATATCCTATATTCTAGGCTGAAAACATTCAAAATCTACCAAAATGAAAATGTACTAATGGGCCGCCAAATCTCTGACGCTGGGACCTTCATATCCTGCCTCCAATTTCACACCAAGCCATAACTGGAATATCTTATCTTCTAAAAAGATACGATTGTGTGTCTAAAACCAATCTTTCTTATACTGCTTGAGATCAGAAATTTTGCAACCTGAATTCTATCTTTTACGCCAGGGCCGGCTGTACCACTTGTGGCTGCCATCTTGTTTTTGCCAGATTAATCTTGAAAAATGTTACAGGGCAAAATTAAATTCAGGTTAAAATTTTTGAACCCTAGCCCTAATTATCCACGAATTAGGGCTAGAAGACAAAGGAAATGGAGAATCAACCTAGGTTCAAAAATTTTAACCTGACTTTAATTTTGACCTGTAACATATATATGTGAGCTACAAAACCATCAATACAAAACAAGAAACTAGCCAATAAAAACAATTAATGTCAGGAAAAGGTTTATTGAATTATTTTATCTGATGTGTGCTTTTTAGTGTTAGAGTACTAACGATACATGTAACAATGACACTCAAACCTGGAAATAGAATGGCCAACTGACTGTTTAATACATTTTGACCATTGCAATATAAGTTTGATATACCTATAAATAAGAAAATGTACTCATGCCCAAATAGATTTGAAAGGTTAGTAGGTTACAAGCATTTATTTTTGGTATGCTTTGGGATAAGAGCAAGGTACACGGGCAGTTCAAGGAACTCAATAGGACCCAGATCTTACAACAGATTTGTTCCTGATCATTTGTAAATGCTTAAGTAAACAAGATTACAACACCTACCGCCCACTCACAAACATCAGAGTACTGATCAGAGGTAGATGGAAGCGATGACACTTCAGAAATTGACTCTGCCAGTGTTGCAAGGTCATGAACATCATTATTTGCTACTGCTGCATCACTTCCTCGGGGTTCACTCATTGCCTCTCTGTAGGTAAATATATTTCCTGAGTCTTTGCCTTCTAAGAGCCCAGGGATGCAGCTAAGGAAATGCTAAGCAGGTTTTCTCAAGTCAAACGTGTCAGGTTTCAGTGATGACATTTTTTACAGGGATGGGATATAAGCCCTTTGCCCTTCCCCCAACCTGGAGAGCCACCTGTCGCAATTCATCTAGCCTTTCACCCAAAACCAGCCCAGCAGCATTTCTTTAACCTACCAGGGATCAACCTCCCAACTGGTATATCTTCCAGGGTACCCAAGGCACACAAACCTCCCCACCAGCCATTTGACAAATTAAGTATCTTGTTTTCATGTTAGATTTTCTTTGACCATTTCATACTACACCATAAGAAATTTTCCTTTTTCTGGGTCAAAATCACCAAAACCCAAAATTGCAATAGGTCATTTCCAAGTAGGCCCAAGCCTCTGTTTTAAAATGAGGTCAAGTGCGAAGCCTTTGATACGGAAATGACTCTTTACTTTATGCAACTTAAAGTCATTTGTACAAGACAAGTTAAATCAGTGGGAAATCACACCAATAATAATTAAAGTTATTATGGTGAGTTTCTTTATAATAGTAACAGCAAAATGTGGTCAAACCAATCCAGACCAATAATTCAGCCCCTACAGACTACTGAATCAGTCAATTCCATCTACAGAGCTTCAGATGCAACTGAGGACCAGTGAAAGAAAGATCAGATAAGAACAAGAATCAAGATTGATGTTTGCATGAAGCATCTGTTGTACCATGTTGTGATGATGAGGGAATGGAAAATTACTTTTAAAACATCACTTTCTATATTTAATTTGGACACAAGGTTTAACAGTTTCTAAAACGTCTTCTGGTCTGTACTCCAGACTTTGAATAAACGCATGATACTGACCTTGCATAACAATGTATTATCGACTATGAAAAAACTGCAACGTCACAAAGCCAATGACCCATGACCACCCCATTTTGTTAACAGTCATATGCCCTACCTGGTGTCTTTTTTTGGCAGCAAACTTCCGCCCATATAGCGCTAAACTTGCATCAAATGCTAGGGGGATGCCTGGGGAAGGACGTGGAGGGGAAGGGGGGTGGGGTAATAAACTTTCTTGGAACTGACTAATGCAAAATCTCCCAGTTCTGGTGTGGGTGTATGGGATATAAAAGGATGTTTTTTTCCTAGTACAGGTTACCTACCACCTATCATACGTTATGCATGAGTCTTATGCCTGTAGATTTAAGGCATCGATCTCATGCATCAAGGGCAATTTCCCACCCCTGATTCACAAATCTGGATGAACTATTCTTTCAGACATGATTAATAACAAAAACTCAATCCAATTTCCCTGAAAATACTTCCAAGAAGGTGCTTAATTTTAACCGTGTGTCTCATTTGTATCTCAACCCTAGAATTGCTGCCTTTTTATTTAAAGTGTCAGAAGTGCTTAAAGGTTGTCGGAACATCTTCAGATATTTTGGGCAATGTTCCGAAATCTTGCTTGGAAGTTGCTTAGAAACCCCAGTAATGACAAGACAAAAATCTTATGCATTTTACTCAGAAAAATTGGCAGGTATAAAAATTCTCTTTAGAATTAGAATCAACAACTTGTTCAAACATTTTAACTTGAAAATTAGTATTAAGAGAACACTAAGTTTTGGAATACTGCCCATGAAAGCATTTTTGTAAAATTTGGTATTATTTATTTTTTCACAGGATAGCTGTATTTTTTTTATAGAAAAGACACCACACTATGTTCCTAATTGAACGTAGAACGGTTTTATCTACTGTTGCTAATGGCTCTGAATTACTTTATGCAAATATATAAAGTCCGTGAATTTAATACAAAAACATGATTCAGAAAACTACCTTTTGATTTGCATTTAGTATTAACGTCCAACAGTAATGACCGACCTCTTTATTTTCAAAGTCGAACAACTTATTGAAATAAAATCAGCGAGACGATTGCATTGCTCGCTTTGTTTGCTAAACAAAAGTTAAACATTAAAAATATATATCATTGCTTTCTCATTCTCTCCTTCACATACAATACTAAGCTTACAGTACAAAGGCTTTTGACAAGTTGAAGGTATGAGCTTAAGTGATATCTTCGCTGATACGATGTAAAAGTCCATGCCCTTGGAACGTAATTCCATTTTTTTTAATAAGATGAATGGCGAGACAAGCTTTCGTGGGGAAGTACAAGTTAGAGGTAGAGGAAATATTCTAAGCTATTACCGAACGTCGAATGACTTGCCTAAGAGTAATAATTACCAAGTTATGAGTCAAGATTTTTTTATTTGATAAAAAACAGCTTTCTTTTAATGATTAGATCACCGTTCTACCACCAAAAATCAAGCGACTAAAAGGAAAAATAAATCACAATCGAAGATTCTAGCGGAATTTTGATTCAATGAATGTTCGCCGCAGAAGAATATAGCTAAATTCTTATTTATATCGATATAAATTCTCAAAACACAACAAAAATTTCTAACAGTTTCACACCATCAAAAGTTGCATTCACACCCCATAACCTAAAGATCCATCATTAAATATTTATTCATCCGTTAGCAAGTCGTTAATTTTAACATGAACCTTGCAAAATCAAGACCTTGAAACTAGAAGTCAAATTGGACCTAGAGTTAACACAGAACAGCACAGCATGAACGAAGAAACCAATAATATAACGAGAAACAATCAAAGCAAATTATTTCCTGTGGAATTTGAGTTCAATATTCGCGCTTTAAAATCACTGATAACTACGGTAAACGATATGAAAGTGTTAAAACGTACCTATAAGATCGAGACTTTGCCGCTCGACGATGGAGTTTGTGGTTCCTCTCGCTTCGACCGTCATCGTTTCGTGGAGAATGTTTGCTGATAAGCCCGTCTTTCTCTCCAGCAGAGGCCATTTTATATGAGCCACTTTCACCGACAACTATATATTAGCATGGCGAAATGCACAATTATTTCGTCATTCTCTGACCGAAAATTGCGGAAAAGCACAAAGTCAATAAGACGCAAACGCGAGGCACGTAAAATGTTGACAAAGTGAGACTGAACTGCATGGAAAGCGCAACCGCAATGGAGTCTGGGCTTTTTTGTGGGGGCGTAAAAAAACTGTTATGGGGTACGTAGATAAAAAATGGCCTCCGTGTGAAAAAAGCTTTATTTCCTGCAGCCTTTTATTTGCTGGATCATTGATTATTAAAATCTAGATTTAGAGAACCCTAGTCACAATAAATTTCATTATGTCTGTTTACGGCGGGACTCGGTCAATGCGTGGTTAAAATTGCAGAAGAATATTAAAAATCCATTAGTGTTTTTTTTTTTTCAGGTATATCGCACACCTGCGTTCTAACTGCTATGATATGCCTCTAAAAATGACTAACTTTAAGGGCCAAGGCTCTTGCTAACGTTCATCTCGATTTGTCATATTGGGATTTTCTTTAGTCAAAGAATCGGAATAAACCTCGAGTGGCGCATAATTACGGACGCAGCGTAAAATCATGATTTGTCCGATTCTGACGTACATTCAGATTCACCAGCTCCTGGAGTCACGCAATGATCGTATCCGAGTGGCGCATAATTACGGACGCAGCGTAAAATCATGAACTGTCCGATTCTGACGTATATTCAGATTCACCAGCTCCTGGACTTACGCAATGATCGTATCCTTTTTCTAGTGGTACGACGCAGTTGGTTGCGTTGTTAACTACGTCAAACTTAGCCTGTACACAGCCGTTGTTTTCTTCTTTTTTCTCTCTCTCTCTTTAAAAACGACGTTCACGCGAAGGAAGAGAGCGCGGAGNTTTTTTTTTTTTCAGGTATATCGCACACCTGCGTTCTAACTGCTATGATATGCCTCTAAAAATGACTAACTTTAAGGGCCAAGGCTCTTGCTAACGTTCATCTCGATTTGTCATATTGGGATTTTCTTTAGTCAAAGAATCGGAATAAACCTCGAGTGGCGCATAATTACGGACGCAGCGTAAAATCATGATTTGTCCGATTCTGACGTACATTCAGATTCACCAGCTCCTGGAGTCACGCAATGATCGTATCCGAGTGGCGCATAATTACGGACGCAGCGTAAAATCATGAACTGTCCGATTCTGACGTATATTCAGATTCACCAGCTCCTGGACTTACGCAATGATCGTATCCTTTTTCTAGTGGTACGACGCAGTTGGTTGCGTTGTTAACTACGTCAAACTTAGCCTGTACACAGCCGTTGTTTTCTTCTTTTTTCTCTCTCTCTCTTTAAAAACGACGTTCACGCGAAGGAAGAGAGCGCGGAGCGCGAGAACGAGGGTGGAGTGCTAGATGATAATCCCCCGTGGTTTTTACTTTTGTACGCGTGCTCGACAATCTCTATTAAAAGAGAAAACAGAGGGTCTGTGAACAGGCTGTGTCAGGCTCAGAAATTTAACTTATTACTGAGAAAAGAACAGATGAAATTTGGGTTACAGACCACACTGTGAGATTAGTACACCTTTCCAAGTTTAACACCCATGGCGGGCAAACTGTTTGAATTTAATTTAAGGAATTTATAATATTACAAAAAACGAGTGCTGAATCACTGCAAAGCATGTGTTATTCCAGAAAATTTGCCCAATTCAGGAGCGCAGCGTCCATATACGCACATACGCCCGTGCAGCTAAAATATGGAAAAATATATTTTTTAATTCCTGAAAAAGCATTTCTTTATCATTAAATCGGGCTGACTGATAGTTTTTCGTACTAAAATGGTGTCGGTTTGTGTTAGTATTTCCTTTATTTTTTTTATTATTCCGTAACTTTGATGGCGTCACTTGCTTTTTTTTCCCGTAAACACTGTACCTTACCGACAAAGCTAGAGATGAATAAATTAGCAACTAACTACTTTCTTTTCCTGCGTATTAATTTACTAAAAATGTCTTGCGGAAAACGTTGGAAATGGCATTTCCGAGACCCTAAATATGAAGGTGCGTGCACCTTCAAAAATGTCACGCTACCTCACTGGAAAAGGCTTTTCGTCCTAGTCTAAAGTATTATATATATTCAGCCCACAAAGTTTTCCTTTCTTTCTTGGCCAGTTTTATATCTTTAACCTTGAAAGCGGTTTTCAATTGAGCGAGGGTGAGAAATTTCTCAACTTTGTCTTTGACTGCAAGCAAGCTATCACATATGTAAGTCTTTACTTAAAGATCGGCGCGGGGCAACTAGGCTCCGTTGCAGAAATCGCGCCGAAATCCGCAGCTGTTACGTGCGAACACAAGCCCTATCCAGTATGGTTTCAGTGCAGGGGCAAAGCTATCCGGTGTGAACACAGTCTCGGTCCGAAAGAGTTTACCCTTAAAAGGGAATCTCTGTGGTCACGTGGGCTTCTGAGAGCTGCATGGAGTCCACGCTTGTTGAACTACCGAAGACAAAGGTTTTAAAATACTCCTTGGCAGTAATTAAGTTGTCCTTTAATTTCCCTAATTAGATTAGTTATAATTCTATCAGTTTGGTTAACTTAGTGCGCTTAAGGGCGCTTTCCATTTGTCAGAACTGACAGGCCAGGACATTCCCTTCATAATGAGAATTTTACTTTTAATGAAAGCTATCCAGCCAGATCAGTCAAATGCTAATATAAATAGTATGCACGAAGGAAATCGTTTTTCATCAAAACCTCTTGGAAAAAGCCTATTTCATTTTCAAAATGGGCGGTGCAGCCATGGTGCGGCCGGCCAGTTCTGACTTTTGGAAAGCGCCCTAAGTTCTAAAGAATTGACCCACGAAACACTAACGATGCTTTCGCTACTCTTATGTTGCATCTTGGGATTAAATCCTGATTAGGACATTCCCCAAAAAGTTATACTACACAGGTTCATTACAGACGCTACACAGTCTCTCAGGGTCGTGAACTCAAAAGAGCGCGGTCTTATTTTGACAAATCTGAGCTTATTCTACCCATGGTCCGCCGTTGCTAACTTTTGTTTTACTTGGCACGTGTCTAAATAATGTTATCACGGCATCACCGAAAGAATGCAATACAGTCGCACAACTTATGTCAAGAAATGCACGCCATAGCCAAAATGCTGAATCTGGCAAAACATCGCCGAAGGGTTTGCGAAAATTCAATGAGATGTCAAAAAACGCCCCTGAAAAAAAACTGGGCAATATCGGCAAAATCTCTATTACCGAGAAAGTATTGTCTTTAGTCTCGTCAACATTGTGAGAAAACGTATGACTCAACGCTTAAAGACGCTTGACTCCAACTAATGTTTTAAAATAGTGGCAAGTTTAGTTATTCTTGTCTTCGTGATAATTTACCCTTATTGTTAATGCCTCTTTTCGAGGTAAGAGTTCTTTTGAATTCTGCGGATGCAACTGATCATGAGGCAAGGAAGGCTGACTAACATTATTTATAAGAAACGATAAGTACTAAACAGTAAAAACCCGCAATAACCTGGATTTTGAGAACTTTGCTAGTTAGGCCCCCATCTATACAATAACCTGTTCAGCCTATCACCCCAACTGCAAATTATGTAATGGCATGCAGATAAGCTGAATACCACTAAATATTCTCAGCTACAATGTATATTTTTTCTACAGAAAATAACAATCTATAGAGTATTTCACTCACGTGGCCAGCATCTCTGCAAAATTATTGGAACAAAAGAGAGCGTTTGTATAAGAAAAGGATTAGTTTGGGACACCAACATGGCCGTCGTGACGTCATGTGAAAACACTCTATTTAACAACCTAAATACATGTAGCCTAAATTTGTTCTAAATACCATTTATGTAAGAACTTGTTTAAGCTAACTTGGAAAAATGCAGGTTCTTATTCTTTTGACAACAATGAAAAAAAGCCTCTTCATATTTAACAATGTTGATCCTCACATCTACAGACTTACAGCTGCTTACATGCTGTAAATCCTCTATTAAGCCCCCCGGGGGGCTTATTTATTTCAAGCCCATTTGAGGGGGGGGGGGTGCTTATTTGAGAGGAGGGGCTTATTTAATTTAAATACGACAATGGTATCAGTTCTCCATAAAGAACTAGATTGCAAAGTGGAAAAGCTCAAGTACAAGAAGTTTTAGGTCATGCATCTGAGGATCCGAATCAAATCCGATATTCCAGTTGGTAAATAAACCATCCTGGATCAGTCCACACGAAGTTCTGCAGTCGTGGTTGATTGATACAGTCTATCATTTATTAGTGAAGAATAATTAGGGGAGGGGAGGGGGGCTTAATAGAGAGGAGAGGCTTATTAACTTTCTTCCCCTGAAAAGGGGGGGCTTCTTAGAGGGAGGGGGCTTATTTGAGAAGGGGGCTTAATAGAGGATTTACGGTACATTCATGTATGGAATATAGACAAAAACTTGTTCTTTACTTTTAACCTATATTTTGATTTAAGATTTATAACCAAAATAATGTAGGTAATATGCACTCACGTGGGAATACTGAAATGAAGTGTTGTTGTTGTGGTTACTCGTGGGTTTTTACTGTTTAGAAATAAGGTGTTTGAAATAAATAAACTGGGTTAAGGGAAAAATTAGAGGAAGACAAGACATTTGTAATAAATCTACTTTATTACGAAAACTCACAAACTACAAAGTGGTGTTAAATAGTTACGCTTGCCTAGTTAAATAATTCTATGTTGTAACCTTACCACAACATATACCACATGAATGGCTCTACTCTAAATAACTCATTTGCATCTCAGACTTTTAAATACGTTAGTTTGAACAAAAATTTTGCATCACACAAAACTGGTCACTAGGCAGTAAATGCTCCAAAACGTGCGTTTGTCTTAAAGTTGCTACTTTGAAAGACAACTTTTGGAAGCATTTTAATTAACGAAAATGCTACGCGGCGTTAATTGTTTTACTAGTTACTGTCCTGCAGTCGCTGTCAATAACGGCACGAAATAGATAAGATTTCCATCACTGAAGTATGTGGACATCATATACGACACCAACAGACGAAATGGATTAAATTACTATCATTGCAATATGTGGACACCTTGGCTATGCGTACCGTATGTACCTATCATGTACAATGAATTTTTTTCGTACGCTGCCTGGACAAAGGTATTAATATACGTCATACGTGTTTACTGCTGATGTTATTGAAGAGCTTTTCTTAACCTTTCTCCAAGATAGACAGTAGGCTGGTAAAAAAATATCTTTTAGTTAGAATAATTTTTCCTATGTGGAACATTATAACACTCGCAGGAGAACTACTCAAGCCGAGAATATAAGAAACCCATTACTAAATGCCCCTCATTGCGACGAGATCTACGTTGTTACTATATAAAAATATATGTCCGTTTATCTTCTCAATAGGTACTTCACCATGCCGTATTTACTGTCTCTATTCATATTTGCCAAGTGCGTCATGCAGGGTGGAGATATCACTTCTGATATCACTGGCCAATTTCATGATCTGGTCCTTAGAGTCCAGTACCTCCACGGACTGTGTGTAGGGGTTGTAGCGGACCGAAAACGGCCTTGGAATCTTGGCAGCAAATTCCCTAGAAGCCAATATTTCGAAAGGAAGACAACATCAACAACAACAATAAAAACAATAATGGTGGTGGTGGTGGTGGTGGTGGTGGTGATGATGGTGATGATGCTGCTGCTGCTGATGATGATGATAACAAAAACGTAACCCCCGGCGGTGTTTATTGCACATAGCTTAACTGACTAGTGGGGTCAAGCAAATCAGTGAGTGAAACAAATAATCTTAATCAAACATAACCAACTGGCCGGACGCAAACCGGTTGGCTATTAACAAGCGTGGTGGAGAATTTGAACACGAACTGACCACTGTGAAAAAAACCAGCTAGCGGTCAGGACGGGACTCCGGCTTGCAAGTTCCAACCTTCTAACCGCTCGAATACGGAGCCTCCTCAGCAAGGAGGGACCAGAAACACCACTGTTAGAGGCTATACTCTAGGAGAACTTATAGGGAGCAAAGAAGCTCCTAACGTGTGAAATCCAGGGGGTGCTTATCCTTTACAAAAACCACCCGGCGGGAAATCCTGGGGATAAATATGAAACTAGAAAATTGACGTGGTGGGAGAACGACCCGCTACAAAGCGTATCCAAAACACCTGACCAGACCTTACAGTTGAATGTGCTTACTAAATTTCTTCCCCTGAAAAGGGGGGCTTCTTAGAGGGTGGGGGCTTATTTGAGAGGGGGGCCTAATAGAGGATTTACGGTACATTCATATATGGAATATAGACAAAAACTTGTTCTTTAATTTTAACCTATATTTTGATTTAAGATTTATAACCTAAATAATGTAGGTAATATGCACTCACGTGGGAATACTGAAATAAAGCGTCGTTGTCGTGGTTACTCGCGGGTTTTTACTGTTTAGAAATAAGGTGTTTGAAATAAATAAACTGGGTTTAGGGAAAAATTAGAGGAAGACAAGACATTTGTAATAAATCTACTTTATTACGAAAACTCACAAACTACAAAGTGGTGTTAAATAGTTTCTCTTGCCTAGTCAAATAATTCTACGTTGTAACTTTACCACAACATATACCACATGAATGGCTCTACTCAACTAAATAACCCATTTACATCTCAGACTTTTAAATACGTTACTTTGAACAAAAATTTTGCATCACACAAAACTGGTCACTAGGCAGTAAATGCTCCAAAACGTGCGTTTGTCTTAAAGTTGCTACTTTGAAAGACAACTTTTGGAACCATTTTAATTAACGAAAATGCTACGCGGCGTTAATGGTTTTACTAGTTACTGTCCTGCAGTCGCTGTCAATAACGACACGAAATAGATAAGATTTCCATTACTGAAGTATGTGGACATCATATACGACACCAACAGACGAAATGGATTAAATTACTATCATTGCAAGATGTGGACACCTTGGCTATGCGTACCGTATGTACCTATCATGTACAATGAATTTTTTTCGTACGCTAGCCTGGACAAAGGTATTAATATAGGTCATACGTGTTTACTGCTGATGTTATTGAAGAGCTTTTCTTAACCGTTCTCCAAGATAGACAGTAGGCTGGTAAAAAAATATCTTTTAGTTAGAACAAGTTTTTCCTATGTGGAACATTATAACACTCGCCAGAGAACAACTCAAGTCGAGAATATAAGAAATACCCATTAATAAATGCCCCTCATTGCGACTAGATCTACGTTGTTACTAAATAAAAATATACGTCCGTGTATCTTCTCGATAGGTACTTCACCATGCCGTATTTACTGTCTCTACTCATATTTGCCAAGTGCGTCATGCAGGGTGGAGATATCACTTCTGATATCACTGGCCAATTTCATGATCTGGTCCTTAGAGTCCAGAACCTCCACGGACTGTGTGTAGGGGTTGTAGCGGACCGAAAACGGCCTGGGAATCTTGGCAGCAAATTCCCTAGAAGCGAATATTTCGAAAGGAAGACAACATCAACAACAACAATAAAAACAATAATGGTGGTGGTGGTGGTGGTGGTGGTGGTGGTGGTGATGATGGTGATGATGCTGCTGCTGCCGATGATGATGATAACAAAAACGTAACCCCCGGCGGTGTTTATTGCACATAGCTTAACTGACTAGTGGGGCCAAGCAAATCAGTGAGTGAAACAAATAATCTTAATCAAACATAACAAACTGGCCAGACGCAAACCGGTTGGCTATTGACAAGCGTGGTCGAGAATTTGAACCCGAACTGACCACCGTGAAAGAAGAATCCAGCTAGCGGTCGGGACGGAACTCCGGCTTGCAAGTTCCAACTTTCTAACCGCTCGATTACGCAGCCTCCTCAGCAAGGAGGGACCAGAAACACCACTGTTAGAGGTTATACTCTAGGAGAACTTATAGGGAGCAAAGAAGCTCCTAACGTGTGAAATCCAGGGGTGCTTATCCTTTACAAAAACCACCCGGCGGGAAATCCTGGGGATAAATATAAAACTAGAAAATTTGACGTGGTGGGAGAACGACCCGCCACAAAGCATATCCAAGTCAGCTGAACAGACTTAACAATTGAAAAATTACATCGCCTCAAATCACAGTCCATATTTTCTGAACCTTCAAAACGGAACGGCGCGAACCATTTGATTGTGCAACCGGAATTTCCGGTTTTCCCATGTAAATAGTAAGTGCCCATGCTACCCAGCATTTTGATGTCTCTTCGCCCCAAGAAAATTCGCAAGAGGCTAATGGCCACTGCTTGAACATAGCCCTGCTGTTTACAGTGAATTCACAACGTTTCAATGCTTACCTGACTTTTTCCTTGGCACTCTGGAAACTGTTAGCCACAAAATACACGGGTTGGTATTTGGTTATGGGATAACTTTGAACTGAGGTCTTCTCTGGTTCAAATGGCCTCTTCTCTGGTTCCTCTGTCAAACAGTACTATAATACATCATAGGATAGGCATTTAATGATACAATGAAATATCATTTTGAGTAGTATGGTGAGAAAGGAATTAACCCCCATTCGTTTGTCGTTGACGTCGTTTGCAGTATATTCAAGTGCGGTGACATTAGAAGCCCCTAATTTAATTCCATGAATTAAACAAGGCAAAGCCTTCCAAACTGTCACTGTGAAAGAAATCTAGTATGCAGTGAACTGAATCGTATTTATCTATCTATGTGTCATAAATATGCCTCCATCAAGTTTTGGCCTAGCGAAGGCTCAGTTCTTTCCAAACGCCATCTTTGATTTTGAAAGCAGAGAAAGATTAGGGAGAGTTAAAAGGGTGATTTATGAAGTTGGCACATAGCAGAAGAAGAAAGTGGGGAAAGAAGGCGGGAAGGTTAGCCAATCTGATTTACAAAAGAAACGTTTGTCTACTTACTTGCAGTTCACCAAAGCTTGACAAGAGTCCAGCACCATAAGCTTTGATATTCCCGTCTTGTTTGCATAACCCAAATTCAACGGTGAACCAGTACAACTACAGACGACGAGTAAAACAAAGAACAATAAACAACAACAACAACAATAACAAGCTAAGTAACATTTTATTATAATCCATAACTTTGGCGTTCTCTGGGGACTGAGTGGTTGAACAGCTCAGGGGACTCGGGGGCTGTTTATGTTACAGGTATGAGAACGCGGGTCCTTGCTAGCAATGTACTCCATTTTATCTCAATAACTGATAGTTTTACCATGTTAGATGCAAAACTACTGAAACCTCTATCTTGCAAGTAAACAACAACAGCTTTACGGACCCGTTAATTTTCGGGGCTTTCCAGAAATGGGCCCCAGGTCGGCGGGTTTCGCATTGAAGGAGTTCCGAGTGAGCGGGATTAGGTGCACGTTACGGTGATCGACATCGGTTGTAATATTTTGGTTCCAGTTCTGGTTGGTTTATTCCTCTGTTTTTGCCGAGCGCTTCCAATGAAATTCAAGAATTTATTAAAGAGAAAGTAACAAATTTTCCTGACTCTTCTGCAAGTAGAACAACCTAAAATCCCACAAGTTCCATGTCATTTCCTCTCCAAGATTTCAACGTCTGTTCGCATTAGTATTTACGTTACGTTTACACAGCTGGGAGCAAACAATCCTCACCGTAGCCAATTTATCAATCCACTCGTCTGGGGCTCCTAATGATGCCAGACCAATTTCCTGTTCAACAAATCAAGAAAAAATAAAAGAACCACTCATAAAAAATGAAATATTTCAAGACGTTTCTTTCCACAGAGAAACTATGTTATTACATATCATCCCTGAACTCTTACCGACAATCTTCCACTTTAACATTAAATCTCGTTTTCAGAACCACCCTTATATATTCTACTAATAGAAATTGCGAAAAACAAATCTAGGCAAAAGCGACACAAAAATGGTATTTAGTAAAGGGCTCTCCCAAAATGTTTTTAATTGCCATCCAAGAAATAAAACTTAGGCAGGTGCATTACCTAGGGATAAAAACTGGCAGTTTAAAGTTGAGATTGTCAGCCTTGTAAGCCACAGCGATCCCAAACAGAGAGGCTTTGCTTGGTTTTCCTGTGGCATGAAACAGTTACGAGTAGTGCTTTCCCTAGAGCGGGATGCTAACAAAACATTGGGTTACCATACCATGGCATTCCGTCACAGATAGCGAATTAGAGGAATTGGTAGACAGGCTACAGTGAATTAGAATGTTCACCTGCTCAGACATCCGCTGACTAATATTAGAAAAGAGTGTTCATTAGAAAATAAATGTATGTGGATTGCAAGAAGCCAACAGTCGGTATATCTCGTGCTAGGAGAGGATGAACTTAGGCAACAGAACGGAAGATATGAATGCAAAATGTCTGTCCACGACAAACGTGACAGGATTATTACTTGCGAGTTTGGTGGCGATCTTCACTTAACATTACTCCTGGAAGGGCACTTAAAGAAACTCTGTGGGAAGTTTAAGACGAAAACTGTCGTTTTCAGTGTACTTTCTCTCCTTAATGGTTGATGGGCTCCTGACTCACCTGACTGAACTGCGCAAAGTCAGGATCTGCAAACAAGGGAACGTGTCCGATGAGCTCGTGAACAATGTCTGGTTCAGGGGTGTACATAGGAGTGCTACCGTGGCGAATGTATTGAGTCGCGTGGAACACTCGGAACGCAAGGCCTGCCAGGAAGTCACGTGATGACAGCAAACCAGCTACTGGACGCAAGGAGAACCCTGTGCACTCTGTGAAAAAAAGTGAAGAAAAACAAAAGACCAATAATCAATACAAGTTGCGACTGGATTTTGGAACTTTGAGGTCCAACCAGGCTATGAAATGGATACTGCTCTTTACCTTTTAAAAACCTTGACACACCTTCTTGCTGCGGAATGTTATCCAGCCTGAAAGAGCCAATTTAGTGGTTAGAGCCCCTGTAAAACGTGCAGTCCCGCCCCAACACTCCGACAACATTTGTTGACAGGCGCCTCCTCTTATCATTGTTGTGAGATTTTCACAAGAGTTTTGGGTCACTTTGTTACTGATTGCGACGGTTTGATCGAGTACTACTTGTCCTTTTATAAGGCTTATTAGGCTATGTGCAGGGCTTGTAGTATCACCGTGGTTGCTTGAGATTGGTGCTTTTCCAGCCACACTCAAAGCAAGTAACAGCGCACGCGCCGATTTTTTTTAGGGGCGAACGAAGAGACTTATTGCAGGGACGCGCGCCGCGCTGTAAAAGCAATTTAAAACTAACAGACGCCAGCATCTTGCCTATTAAACCGACATCGTCACCTGATGTGGACCAGCAGTTCGACGCAGTACGTGGTCGAAACGTCGCAAACAAAGACAAAGTGACTTTCACAAGTCAAACGACAAACGATCGCGCGAGCCTGTCAAACTGGTACCACGCAATGCAATGTCGCTGAAACCGCACATTTTTTCATTTATTTTTCTCGAGCGCTCGCAAAATTCGTCGGGAAAAAGAAAAGAAGAACTGTGGAGAGGCTAAATCGATGTGGAAGAGTAATTTGTTTACATGAAACAATTAAATCATAAAAGAGAGAAAACTCACTGTCGCTGTCTGCCCTTTCTGTTTCTCTCTTCTCCTTATTCCCCCAGAAACGCCTGATACTATCTCAGGCTACAAATACTCACCTATAGCCACAGTTCTGGGCTAACAGTGGCCAAACATAATTATGTTCACGGCAGGCATGCGTAGGGTACAACTTGGTCAACTCAGAAAATACTACATTCCTGTAGGATGGTAAGGCCAATAATCAGCAATGTTTTTTTTTGCTCAAGGATTAAAATGCAACACGATGACATTGTAGCTACAATAAGTCAGCTTAACCACTGTTATTATTCATTCAATTATATTTCCTCGATTCTGATTGGCTAAAAGCACACGCATAATTTACCATAACCATTTGCTGATGACCAATGTCAGCTTAACCACTGTTATGCATCTCCAAGAGAGCAAAGTATTACAGTAAGGTCAGATTTTTAGTCCCACAGTTCCAGCCAAAACAAGTTTGCAACCATCTGTACACGTTTTGAGAAGGAACAAGATTCATAGCAAGTTTCCTTTTGGTGATATTAAAGGTAACTTAATGCTTCATTTAATAACTCACCGAAGTACAAAAAATGTGTTAACAACAATAACAGGTATGTGGTTCATGCAGCTGGTTGAGTACCAGATCTTGGAGCAGTAGGCTCAGGTTTGATTTCTAGCTAACTATAGCCTGAGTATCAAGCCTTCCATTGGGATAAGGAGAGACCATCACACGAGATTTTAGAGGGGGAGGTGGAAAGACAGAAGGAAGGCCTCCCCATTTCACTCTCTCTTCTCCTTTTCCCCACAAACACCTGATACTCAAGGTTACCGTAATTCCTCAAATAATAGCCATCCCTCAATTAATCACCTCCCTCAAATAATCGCACCCCTCAGAAGGAAATATTTAAAATTATTGCCTCCTACAAATAATCCCGCCCCATCCCTCTTGCCTTCTTCTCCTCTCCTTGTCAAGTTGAAGTGGAGTCTGATCCAGCAAAACTGATCAGTGGTGATTCAAGCTCTGTTGCAGAGGATATTGACCCATTGAAAATTAATCAAGGAACCAAATTTGAAATGCTCAAAAAGCCCATGATATCAGTGTAATTGATGTGATCATTCACTGATCAATGGATAATAAAAGAAAACTTTTAGGGCAGGACTTTCAGTTAGCAATGTTTGAAATAATCGTCTCCCTCAAATGGTCGCCTTCCCTAAAATAATCACCCCCGGGTATTATTTGAGGAAATACAGTATCTCCAGCCTGTGAACAAGCTCTCTGAGGGTGTTGAAGACTATAGAGCAACTGGTCCCCATTTCGACTCATGGTCTGGATGACCAGGCAAACGAATGGCCTCAAGGACTGGATCCACTTCGGTGGGTAGGGAGGGTACATGGACTGGAAATCATCAGTCCTATTTGTACCTATCCCCACTGAGTAGGTCTGTGCCCAGTAATTAAATTCAACCTGATTAACTTTTTAAGCCTTTACAGTGATTGGCATCACATTTCTTCTTGTACCACTTAAAAGACAGNTACTGGTCCCCATTTCAACTCATGGTCTGGATGACCAACGAATGGCCTCAAGGACTGGATCCACTTCAGTGGGTAGGGAGGGTATATGGACTGGGAATCATCAGTCCTATTTGTACCTATCCCCACTGAGTAGGTCTGTGCCCAGTAATTAAATTCAACCTGATTAACTTTTTAAGCCTTTACAGTGATTGGCATCACATTTCTTCTTGTACCACTTAAAAGACAGAGTGGTAATGAGAATTTAAGGACGGGCCTGATTATACAAGATAAATTCTAATGATGCACTTTAATTAAAAAATTCTCTGTTTTGGTTTTATGGCAAATGTATGGAGACAAAAAATGAAGATTTAAATTTTGTTATTTGCATTCAAAGGGTTAAGTATACTGAAAAGTGTTTCTTTAGTACAGTGTTGTCCTTACCAAGTCTTGATCTCAGCTTCTGTGTACGTCACTTCTGGAATTGGCTCACCACTGCAAACAAACAAAAGAAAAGATTTTTATCTTTTTCAACAAGTGAAATAGTGAAGTATTTGTATACACTTTTCATGCTTGTTACAAATATTCTTCTACCAAAGTAAGGTGTACAGTTATGGTACATACTGTTTATAATTGAAGGCAATATCTGCAAACTCCTTTCTGCGAGCCCGGTAGACTTGATCTGTGAATCCCTATACAAGAAAGCTCTCAATAAGTCACCACAAAAAATAGCATATTAATAAAAAAAATATAATGTTAAGTTATTCATTAATTAATTAATTTGGATTATGAAAAAACCAAAAAAAAAAAGAAAAAATATATCATAACTGTACACATTTAGTACCAATACACAACAAAATATGTCGATAAGAACATTTTTTTTAACATCAGTTCTCTGAGAATTAAGATCTTTTCAAAAATGAATTAGAACTATGTATATTGAAAGGTGTGTGTGAAAACTTTTCAACAATATTATTTACAGATGACGTCTCTCAGTGGATGGAAAAAACATGGCTTTTGATTAATTTTGAGTGGCACTATTAATTACTTTATAATAAGCTAAAGAATGAAAGACCAATGTTATAGTTTACTGGATGATCTGAGTCAAGCTCTGCTCCATAGCTCAGCACCCTGTTGGCAAATTTATCCAAATCAGCAATCTTGCGAGGAAACCAAGGTACTAAAAAAGGAAAGAACAGACTCTATGTTGACATCATAAGCTCCAACATTGCAACTGAAGTAGAATTACATGTGTCACATCGGTATTGAAAAAGTCATGATCAAGCATATCTAGATTCATCTGAATGTCTTTAATCAAAAATTCTTCAAAGTTAACCTCACTGATTTACATTATGTGAAGTTTTAATATATTATTTGATGCACCCAGCTCAAGATTATAACAACGGTATACAATGAAGACATACATTCAAGGAAAATTGTCACTGGAGAAATTAGACTGGAGAATTTGTATGTGGATCTTGGGGCTTAAAGGGTTAAATAAAGTTAATTTCCCCACAAGCAAAGGTTTTTTTTCCCTCTTTTCCTCCTGCCTGCCGGATACGGGGGAAAAGGGGATGCTGCTCTCAGGGGATACCTACATGTAAGTTAAGCCTCCTAATGTACATTATGTATGCTAGGTTAGCAGGGGTTTTGATAACTTTTTCCATATGTAGCTGAAGATGTTGGCGTATTGGGTGGCGGTGAAAAGGACCGCTGGAGCCTTTTCCCTAACATCTTACTGAGACATCCTTACTTCAGCAGCACTGCAACTATATATAGCCCTATATATATAGGCAGCACTAGACACACCTTAAACTGGTTATTGAAACTCCTGATTTTATAGGTCTTTCAAATGCTGTAATAATAATGATAATGATAATAATAATAGTCATAATAATAATAATAATAATAATGATAATAATAATTAAAGGTAGAAGTGCAAAAAATCTGGAACTGCAGAAGTGTATCTGTCATCCCTATTGTAATCAAAGCTCTTGGGACTGTGAGTAAAAACCAAAGGATGTGGATCAGCAAGCTGGGAACACCTGGGATCATTGTACTGCTCCAGGAAGCTTGTTTGTTGGGAACAGCTAATTAAGATCCTAAGAAGGACCCTAGACACCTAAGGCTACAGGAGACAGCTTGATGCTTTAGGGAATAAGGCCACCTATACGGTGTAAGAATAATAATAATAATAATAACAATAATAATAAACTTTGTTTTAAACTCTGACCGCTCAGCCACCCTACCTAAATACTACTCTCATTCCTTTTTACAGCTGTATTTGTCATCCCTGAATCTTATTTTTATTGTAAATGGTTCGACCCCACTGTCAGTTGAAAGAATAACCATTTCAGAATATATCTGATGAGACACCAGTCAATAGTTCTAACAACAAATTAAAGCCCATAATTTCAGCACTACATTTGCCTGTGAATAACTTTCCTATTACTTTTTTATCTTATTTATTTTTTGTTGCCAATATTATACTTTATCTAAAAACTTTAAACTAATAAATAACACGTAAATCAATTAACTTACCATCAGAGGACTCTGATGAGTTGTAATGTATGCACAGTAACCATGACAACAAATCAGTTGCACACCAGAAAAATCAACAGATATGGTTATTAGTAAACCAGTTAGATGGCAAAATAAAATTATCTGGTGCAGGTGCATATGACTTGTGCAAGTGACTTGTGCCAGGAAATTAACATACTGTAATTCCTCTATAAGCTCCCCTCTCAAATAAGCCCCATCCCTCTAATAAGCCCCCCTATTTCAGAGAATGAAAGATAATAAGCCCCCTCTCTATCAACTCCCCCCCACTCCTCTCCACTAATTAGTCTTCACTAATAAATGTAAAACTTTGTGTAGACTGATCCAGGATGGTTTATTTACCAACTGGAATTTCAGATTTGATTTCTGATCCCTGGCTGCATGACCTCCAACCTTCTCGTACTTGAGCTTTTCCACTTTGTATTGTAGTTCTTTATGGAGTAGTGATACCATTGTCTTTTCTACATTAAATAAGCTCCCCCCTCTTAAATAAGCTCCCCACCTCGATTAAGTGCCCCCCCCCCCCCCCCCAACGGACAAAAAAAAAAAAAACAATGGGGGGACTAATACAAGGAGGAATGGAATATATAATAAATCAATTACAACATTTAAGCCCACTCCTACAAATGTCATGTGGACCGCAAGGAGTATGAATTAATTTATTTTTCAGTAGTGCATGTACGCTACTTTTTACCGCCTTACATGCACCTCCCCGCCATGAATAAGCCCTCTACATGGATTGAGGGGCCCCCCCCCCCCATAAGGGCATGAAATAGATAAGCCCTTGGGGGGCTTAATAGAGGATTTATGGTACATTAAACGCAGCATATCACTACGTATACCAGACTGTCACACATGGTCAATGTACTTTTATGGTTCTGAATTATTTGATATTAAATTTAAAAATACAGAGGATGACAAATTAAGCCCCTTTTTAATAAAATATATTAGTTAGTTTCTATACATTTCATAACTTAACATTTTATTTATCCATACATTGATTGCCGGTGTGTCATTTTTACTAGTTAAGGATGAACAGCATTAATATATTTTTTTTTAATATAAACCTGTATGCAATGTGTCTTCATTATTTTTTGTTTGACATATTGTTTTTCCAAAAGACGCCTTTTAAAACTAAGTTGAGCCATTTTCTGGATGTGAAGTGCAGGTGGGAAGTGGAACAAGATTTTCATTGGAGTTTTCCGATCTCTTTTATCATATGGTTTTTTGGGCTTTGTTCTGACCTGATTGACTGAATCATGTGCATTCCAGTATGATTTGAAAGAGCTCTCCCCCTGCACAAGTTAGATGTCAGAGTTGTCGGTGACTATTAAGTCACTTAGTTACTAATGACATACACAAGTGGTAGAGGGATGTGGATTGGTACAGGCCATATGTGCAGTTCAGGGGTAAATGGCTTTTAAAGTTTCAAGTTTATTTGCAACATAATATGCATATAAGTGCCTACCATAAAAATAATATAAAGAAAGTCACACTTAGCCCACAAATGTGCAAATTGCAAACTGTGCAATACTTGAGGTCTTAATTTACACTTGACTTAAATCGATCACTACTTCTAGGTTTAAACTACAGTAAATAATATTCATCAAAATCATCATTAATATTTTATTAATACTATTAATGTACGTTTACATGCATATTTAAGCACATTTATTTTTATTTATATAATAACCTTCAACAGAATCTTTGATTTAAATCGAACTTTCTACTTAAGGCATAGCTATCAAAGAATATTTTATTGCTAACTATTTTTTTAATGTAAATATTACTGAACGTATTCTTATACTAAATTCAATTTAAATTATCACGTTTCCCTAATTAGCAGGCTACCTGTTGAAGCCAGCTAGAAGATGCAACAATTTTTGTTAATAAATTAAGTTCATAATGTTCATTCATTCATTCATTCATTCATTCATTCATTCATTAAAGCTAAATTTTTACTGATCACATTAAAAAGGACCAACTATCAAAAATATCAAAGTAAATGAGTGTGTGGGTGCTACAACACCAGAAAAGCTTGGGCCATGGTGCTGTGAAATGAAGTTGCAAATGCTATACAAATCTGTCCTAAAATGTGATTTCACAACAAATTCACACAAGATAACAAAGCAGTCACACAACTGATCTAGTACAATTACACTCACATGCCTGCAGTGCAAGTGTTGTGCTGATACTACAGCCAAAACAAAAAACTCTACAAATCTCAAAGTTAAAGTGGAGAGGAAAAATAACAAATGAAAACTTTACAGAATGGAACAAAAATTTCTGATCAGTGCTTCAGCTAATTGAATATACAATTACATATTATGCATATTGTTTCTAAAGGATTGACTAGGAGAATGGTAGTATTGAATAGCTATAGGGTATTTTTCTTTGAACTCAACAACACAGAGGCATGTTATATGAATGCAAGATAGTTTACCAATGAAACAATTGATACCTGCAGTTTTTTGTATGATTGTTGGCCCAATTTCTTTTGGCCTCTGGAAAAGGGATGTAGTTTAGAAGGGTAGGGAGCTTGACTTACCAATATTCAGGAATGAAATCTTGACTAGCAGTTTAAAAAATAATCTTGTCAGTTTGACTCAGAATCAGCATAGGGGGTGGGGGCTTTTCGGTACAGTCAGAGATAACATTATGTATAATTTGGTCAAGGAGTTTATTTAAGGCTCAGGGGGAATAAATATGGCAAATATAACGCTCACCTCCCCCTTCTTCTGAATGCACAGTGATTGTCAAGGCTTGATCTTTTAAGGCATCCACAAAATTTGTTAGCCTGGGTCCTTGAATTTCTTCACAGTCCACAAAGAAATCATATTCTGTCTTGGAGCGTTTAGAAGGACGGGATTCAATGTGGGACATGTTAACCTTGTGAGCCTGTGATACATAAAAATTAATAGCATTTAGGATACCTCTCACACGAGGCCCCTTCACATGAGTAACTGTAGCGCAGCTTGTGCTTATTGTAGGCTACTGTAAAATTCCGAAAACAAGCCCCAGGGCTTGTATTTTTCAATGTCCCTTTTTGAGGGGCTTATTTTTGGAGTGGCTTATATTCGGAGGGGCTTATCCATGGAGGTAAATTAGCGTTTCAAAATTGATTGGGCTAGCATTACAGTTGGAAGGAAATTTACCGTTTTTGCTTTGTTTTACTTTGTATTTAAGGGCAATTTCCAAGTACAAGCCCGTGGGAGACTTATATTTGGACGGGCGATTTAACGGAGGGTTTTTTGCGTTACCAGTTTGGGGGGCTTATATTTGGAGGGGCTTATACATGGAGGGGCTTATTTTCGGAATTTTTCCGTAATAATAATAACTAGATTTCTAAAGATGGTCAGTACAAAATGCAGACTGCTGCAGACCATTGTTTTCACCATGCCAATGAGAATGTGACACAAATAGTCCCATTGCTTTCTAACCCTGAAAACAATTAATGAATGGTCTGCAGTCAGCATTTTGTACTGTCCAATTGTAAAGAGCATATTGAATTTGCAAGGCTAATAAATATAAAAAACCCATATAATTTAGATCTCGTCGATTATGTAGAATAAAAATTTTACTTTTCCGCTGAAAAAGTTTTTGTAATCAATGCGAAAGTTTAGTTAGTCAATAGAGTAAAAGAATGTTAAGATGTATGTACGCTCAAGCTGCGTAGCTAGAGAGTTCTTTACATCGATGCATGTAATTGACATAATTATTATTTACCTCAAACAGTTTAAGCGCCCTGGCCAGAGAACCAACCTCCTCTTTCAATGAAAACACGATTGAAGTATGTTTCTTTCCATCAGTTTCAGCCTGGTGTTTCTACGCAAAAATTGTTCAAAGCAATCATGTAAAAGAGCGGAACAAAACAATCGAAAGACACGTAAGCTGTATATAGTGCGGTACATTTTCAATTAATCGCAGGCACGTCTCGTACGAATGCCTAAAAACTAAATAACAACTAAATACTATGAGAGACAAGAAATCAAATGACACACCACCTTGCGATTAGTCGCATCTTCGGGATCGCTTGTGTCAAAGTGTTTTCGTTTTAAACCTGCGTCCATGTTGTGAAGGGAAATAATATGGATGCTCACTGATGCAATGCACTCCAGTGATTTGTCACGTGACACGCGCTATTGTTCGTAAAGAGGTGTGTAGGGCGGTGTGGTCGCTTTCCTGGCCCCACAATACCTTGCACGGGAGAGAAAAAAGTGAGCGTTCCTAAGAAATGGTAAATCAAGGAGAAATAGCACTAAGAGCTTGATGGGAAGCTGAATCATTTTTGAGATTATGTATCACGTGGGGAGACGAAAGACGACAAAGTTGAATTTGTACCACGTGACCAAGTTTTCCGTTTACTCGGACCAGTTGGCGAAAATCCCTCAACATTGATGGAATGAATCCCGGCATAGTAAATCGAACGTTCGAAAATCGAACTCAATCGAACTCAATCCGTGGATTGAGTTCGATCGAGTTCGATTTTCGAACGTTCGATTTACTATGCCGGGAATAGAGAACAGTATGGAAGCTGCTAAAATTGGGCTTGGTCTCAGGTTACAATCACAGACAACTCTCACATCTCCCACAAGGCCACAACCCCAACACAACTCCCACAACCACCACAATTCCCGCAATCCCCATAACTTTCTTTATCACAATATTTTTATTTTTTTCTCTGGCTATTTTTCGAATCCAATAATTTTTGGCGCCAATTTCACCAGTCGAAAATTCTACCAATGACGTTATGTAAATTGGCCAAAAAGAAGAGGGAGTTTTGGCCTGGCATAACATAAAAAGCAATAGGAAAAAGCCATATTGTTTGGTGTGTTGCTTTCTCTTCGAGACTAATGGAAGATGTGGACGATGTTTAAGACTTTGTTTTACGGAAATCAGGATGCAAACCGTTAAGAGAAAGTGATTAATATCAGTGTTTGGCTCATTTCTAACAAGCTGACTCTAAATACATCCAAGACAGAGTTTATGTTGATAGGCCCCAGGCAAAGGTTAAAGACCCGGGTTAAAGACTGTCAAGACTGTCCAATTTCTATCAATTAATGGTGCTTCTATTAAACGTTAGAGAATCTTTCGTGTGGAAAGATTTTATTAGGACGCCTTGGAATGATTCCCGGCCAAAGTAAGTATTAACGTCTATTAAACCAGTCTCGTGTACGAAGTCACTTGGAGTGCTAATTGACGAAACTCTGTCTTGGAATCAACATATCGAGAAATTATCAACTAAAATTGCCTCTGTCGGGGCCCTAAAACGTATTCGACCTTTTGCCCCTCCCATTACCCTGCAGTTCATCTATAATTCACTGACTTGAAGTCATTTTGAATACAGCAGTGTGGTTTGATGTAATTGTGGTAATTAAGACCCTTGGTCCCAGATTACATAATCTACAAAATCGGGCGGCACGGGTTTTAACTTTTTCCAGGTATGACACTAGTGCTGACTATCTTATTGAACTTCTTGGCTGGAAAAAATTGGATTGCCAAAGAGAGGCTCAAAAAGCTGTTATGGTCTTTTCAGTGGGAGTTGTGCTAGTTATGGACGTTGTGCTGGTTGTGGGAATTGTGCTGGTGTGAAGGTTGTGCTTGTTATGGGAGTTGTGTTGGTTGTGGGGAGTGTGCTGTGTGTGAACGCTTTGCTAGCTTTGGAATTTGTGCTGGTTGTGGGAGTTGTGCCGGTTTCGGGAGTTGTGCTAGTTTCGCTGGTTAAGGGGTTATGCTAGTTGTGGAATTTGTTCTGGCAGATTATGCTTTTGGGAGTTCTGCTGGTTGTGACCGTTGGGTTGGTTGTGCAAGTTGCGGGCGTGGAGGTGGTGCAGCGTTTTATATAAGTCCATCACGAAACGGGCCAGTTCGTTGTTAATAATCTAAATGCAGTTGTTCGTCAGTACGATGCCTATTTTACGTGCTATCTCAGAAATGGTTTCGGCTCAAAAAATCCAACACCAACTGTAGATAACTTTAGAGGCCACCCACTATGTCCGCATGGTAAGACTTCAAGTCTTTCGAGGCGGAATTTTTCGATAAGTAAGTGCGATGTCCGGCGGTGACTTTTTCTAAACCCGGGTCACCAGTGACAAATATTCATCACTTATTTTAGAGTAAAAACGGTAAAGAAACCGTCAGTGGGAGTGGGATGAGGGCGGGGGACAAGAATTCTGCAATTATACGAATTGGCTGCTACCTTAGAGAAATTTGAACAGACGCATCAATGGCCAGGCCTTACTAAGAACTATTTCGAAAGGCTAGCGAAGGTGCCAGTAAAATAGAAATTCAGGAAATATGGGTGATTCACTTTTTATTTTTTAACGTCTTTGAAGCACGCTTAACAAATTTATAAATATATTATTATCACTTTATGAATTTTTCTTAACTGTAAAATCTAACAATTTTGTTTCTTTGGAGCGTCAAGCGATAAAGAGTATTCTAACAATGGACTTAAATGCAAGAGAATCTCCAAAGTATTTTACAGGAGAATCTTTCAATCTGAGGTCAAAAGCGTCTAAGGCCACTTTGTAACTAACTGTGACTTAGGCCAGCTGAAAAAAACATCGCTAAGGAAAAAGGGTCGAGAATAGAGTGGAAATTAGAAAATCAGATTTCTTCTGAACGTCTGTATTTGCAAGGCCGTATATTGCAAGCGTACAAACTAGCTAGGTGTGCAAACGGAAACACCCCTCTGATAAAAGCACATGGTCAAGCCAGTGTCCATTCTAACCAACGACGCGATGAAGGTGTCCGTACTTATAAAGAGCCTCTTTTAAATGACTGACTAAAGACCACAAGCAGGGCACCGTCTTTTTTGGTTACGTCGCACCCGAGAAAAAGTTTAAAATTAATCTAAATGAATGAAAATGGAATTCTTTAACTATTACCCGCACAATCTAACAGTAATTAAATATAAAAATCTCCATTTGTCAAAAATATCCACATTCAATTCACCCATATATCACAACAGTTGTTGTGTTGTCCAAAACTTTTGACCAAATGTAAAACAACTCGGTCTATTTACAACGATTTTTGTATTAGCTTTTAAGCTTAAGGATGTAAGTTGATATCATGTCTATATTACATACAAATATCAGCTTGTAAATCTGTGTTCAGTGATCATCAAATTAAAATAAATCCTTTCTGGGATACTTAAATTATTGTAATCAACTCTTAAGCTGGTCCACTTTACCACAAAATTTGTCAAGAATCATAGCCTGACTGACAAAATAGAACTAATAAAACCAGTTTCACTACAAAGACTCACGGCAAATTAACATATTTTCGGAGCGACTACGGCTTCAACTATAAGTGCAGATTTTGGAAAAGCTTCGTGAAATTGACGGTTTTCTGTTAGAAAAACAAGACGCATAATTGCCTATCTTGAATACTGCCAGTTTTGATTGGCTCGTATAAATCTGCAACAATGTCCTGCAGTTGAACATGCATCGTTACTTAAGTGTACCAAAAACGTCGGCACCTTTTTTTCGTTCACCCTTCCTACAAACTGCCCTTCTTCGTTGAAGGAGCTCGCGTCCAACAATCTTCACGGTTGTTGTGGTCGCTTTGTCACACGTGTTATGAGATTCCCTTCAGAAGCGAGGCTTCTAGTGTTATATTGAACTCCATCAAAGTTTGCAGTAAGTCCACCAAAAACTGCACCAGCGTTGTGTCCCGAAAGAACGAGGGCGTGTCGTACATGTTGGTCGTCGCTGGACACGTGGACAGGAGTTCGAACCAGTCATGGAGCAAATGATCTCTGTCGAAAAAAGGCACACGTACAAATATAACTACTCCGGCCAAGTTTTCGCACTCTAGAGTTTTGTATCACAAAGGGTATTTCTAGAGATAGCGAGGATCAGCTAAAGGTAACTCGCACTTTAATTCAAGGTAAGGAGAGTTTATGAGGAAAATACGACCGAAAAAGAGGAGTACTAGGACACAGAGAAACTCCTTTCATTCATCAACGAATTCACAAGTCTCTCCTGCAAAGAAACATTTCTCCCAGTCGTAACTTCGGCGTCAACTGCCGTACAAAAGGTTTCGCATTTCGCAATTTATCTGAAGTAAAAACTACATTTTACAGCCATGGTTATAGATAATGTCCTATGCCAAAATTAGCCTGCGTAACAGGCGATGGGTGCAAGAGGGAACGGCTCTTTTGCGCCCATCACTTCCAAGCGCCTGCTACGCAGGCTATGCCAAAAAATATATTGTGATTATTAGTTCTGCGTTTCTTTGGTTTGTGGTTGGCTGACAAATGTCTCGCGCTATTTCTCGACAATCGAAAATGAAACTAAAACCAACCGTTAATTAAAGTTAACTCGGTCCAGTTTCCTTCTCGTTTCTAAAGTAGCGTATGTGATTGGCTACTCAAATGAGTCGTGTTGCCTCCTGTTAATTTGATTCCGTGGCACGTATGAGCATAGCTGTAAAAAAGGAGTTTCTTACCTTGCACCGAGGCACACAAAGGACTGGAACTGAAAAAGAAGAAGATGATGAAGAAGAAGAACATAATGAGCATTGAGAGAGATCTTCAGCAGGCTCCAATGTTACAAAATCATTCAAATATAATTTCTGGAGGTTTGGTGAGGGAAGGAAAGCTTAAGAGAGAAACAGGAGCTCTCAACGCTGCCGCACAAGATCACGCAAAACTAATTACTCTAAAGCGACGTGAAATCGTCTCAGTTTTACGAAGGAGTACAAAGATCAGAGCGATACTCTGTAAAGCCGGAGAATTTGTTCAGCACATCGATAATAAACTTGTCACAATTTTTCTAGGGAGTTCGAGTTATTGAAGGTCAAATTACATTACCTAAAGGGGAAAAATCAATTCGCGTTAGCGGGTTTTTCAGATATCGAGGGTTTCGGTAACTAAGGACCGGATAATACTACAGTAAAAGTATGGGGCAAATCCAAGGGAAATCAATTTTGGTTGGAGTTAGCACGAGTTTCGAGTAACCGAGGGTGTATTTAAGTAGCACGAAATTAAGTGAAAAGCCAAAGTATTACCTTGCCATCTTTTCCAATGGATTGTGACGCGTTGTTTATCCTGGTTATCACAGTACAGAATGTTTTTCGCGCCCTTTTTACGTGATCAGGTTGGCCAGAGT